CCCAGTGAACCCAGCTAAAACAATGCTGAATGTTTTTAATGTTGCAAGTTGGCTTCTTATTTAGCAGCTATTTGTTGGAATTTTCTGTTCTACCTTAAATAGAGTGGCAAAAATTCTGGCACCTATACAGATGCCTGTCAGGGCCCTGAGACCATGGCATCGTCTGAAGCACCTGTCCGAGTCACGTGGCTTCTTGGGTGGTACAAAGGGAAAGATAACGCATCAATCACTCTGGTGTCCATGCTAGACGGATGCTAATGCGAAAGACCATTCCTTGATATTTCAGATATTCCAGAGCTAGACAGCAGGAGATGATGGAGAGACCGCTGCGTATTCATTTACATTTGAAATGTGACTGAAACACCCCTGACTCAGCCACTGATCTAAATGGGCTAATATTAGCCAGATTTTCATTGTTTGTGTCAAGTTCTCTGAGCTTATTTGTGGCATACTGTTATATCGATTATGATAAAACTTATTCCTGAGCAACAGTTACAACCTCAATGCAGGATGATCCAGTATACCACCCTCTACTGCATGGTGTTGACAGGACTGAAGCATTCTGTTTGGACTTCCAGTCTGAACACTATGTCCTTTTGTGAAGAAGTGAAAGACAGATATGCTTTTACAGTGGCAGCCTCTACACTGAAGTTGAATGCCTTTTACTGTGAGGTTGGGAAGAAAGTATAGCAGAAGGAAGCTGCCTGTTCAGGATGGAGTCGGTAGGGGGTTAAGTGGTTTGGAGATGAAAGCTTGCAGGACTGGCAGTGCCAGCTCCAGGGGTCCAGGGGTCATGAGGAACAACCTCTCAAGCCCCACAGCTGCTTTGATACAGGCTGAGCAGTGACCCTTGAAGGACTTACAGGGTCACGTTATGTAAGCAGGAAGTGTGATTCTGCACAGCGTTCCTTCCTGGGGCTTTTTGGCCGGAGCTCATGCCGGAGCTGTTTCCACGCTGACCCGCTGAAGCATCCCTCAACAGCTTCCTCAGCAACAGGCTATTGGTGACCCTGATTTCACTCTACTTACTGGAATTTTCCCTGGGAACTCATTTCCTGCCCCTTTTTTCCATGATGCTTGACTCAAAGCAGCACTGTGTAATATGTTTGTTAAAACTGAAAGAAGTAGCATTACTGCATATGGAGAGAAAAGAACACACTGAAGTATGGTGTGCGTGCGCCGCTGCAAGTCACCCTGTAAAGCCTGAAATAATCATTTAAACGTCAGAGGGACCAGGACGGTTTCAGTGGGAGTTTTTTTTTTGGACTGTATCATACACCTTTACATATTAATGTCAGATGCACAGGCTCAAAAAGAAGGCCCAAAGTGATGGTTAGGTCCCAAATGCAAAATCAGAGGTTTACTGATGAATAGGGCTGGGAATCTCTAGGCACCTCACGATTTGATTCGATTACGATGCAGAGGGCTGCGATGCGATTATAAAACGATTATCGATGCATCTTTTTTTGCTATACATGATTTCTATTTTCTTGCTGTGTGAGGACTTGGTAGTTTTACAGCAACGTTTTTATAATGATCCATAATGATTTTACTTCCAATATCTTTTATTAATAAATCAAATGGAAGTGATGTGGCAAGTGAACTGGAAGGCTCTCATTAACTGCTGTTTGGAGCACATGAGGCGCTGCTGCCACTCATCTGCGATAAAATGCGCTGTTAGGGTGACACAAGATCCAGTGGTAATGGATGACCACACAGCACACTACAGCTATTCTACTCGTTTTCTTCAGTGATTTTATAAGTTTGGTTTTGGTCTCGTTGTAGAGAGTGGTGGGATCTCTGTGTCAGTAAAATATCATTTTTGGCGAACCAGGGCGAAAGACTGAACTGCCGTGCAGACTGCAGGTCACTTAGCAGCGAAGCTTCGCCCAGCTAGTAGCGAACGAAAAGGCACAGATTTAAGACGGACATTTGGAGACGAATGGACTCGTTTATAAGCAGCGCAGTTGGTTTCCTGGTACGTTAAATCTGAAACGAGAGACTGTCAAACACTAAAAAGTGGCGAAGCTGAAGTCGCTTCTCTTTCTAATTCTCCCGTTCCACCTTAAATGGTGCCGCATTTACATTCGGCGCCTCAGGCAGAATTTAAGGTGGAACGGAAAAATTCAAACGAGAAGCTGGAGAATAAGCGACTTCAGCCTCATAAAACAGTCGAACGTTGAGAGACATTTTACAAGAAACTGGTGTACTTTTAAAGAAATGTTTTCTGGTGGAGAGGGGAGGAAAGCAGCTATAACTAGTTAAAGCTTAAAGCAGAGCAAAGTAAGTCAGCGTTTTCGTACTGAGACATACTGGATATTAAACGTTGTGGCTATCAAGGTGATTTGATTTATGTTAAAGGACAAAATGGCTCTTCTTATCATTTGTGTTGTGACTCCTGATCTAACCTGGCTTTTAATGCAGAGGGAGCCGGTCGGATTTCTCGCTCATCCAGTAGTGCTTTTGTTATGTGCCGCCACAGACTGTCCGGGCGCTGCACTTCCGCACTTCCAAGTTCCGCCTTTTGCGTTCCGTCAACATTACGTTACAAATTAAGTATTTAGAAAATCGATTTTTGACATTTATGAATCGATTCAGAATCGTTCACGTCCGCATCACGATGCATCTAAGAATTGAGGTTTTCCCACACTACTGATGAAGATATAAAGACAATAGTAGACAATTCACTCATATCCTTGGAGGAAACGTCCTTCACCACGTTTTTGACTCTCTTCGAATACTCTTTCAATGTGCTCGCAAAAGTCAGGTTCATTCACTTGTGGGGGTCCGAAGCATAGCCCATGTTTTTCCGCACGTTGTGTGCAGTTACATATTTCAACCAGAGAGGTCTCCTAATCCCCAGATCCAACATAGTGTTGCTTTAAATCTTTTTTTTTTTATATATATATATAATTCTTTTTCTTTTTTCATTTTGTTTACGTACTAGGTGTATGCATGTTTTATGGGACCCTTTATGCTTGTGCATTGTAATTGTCTGCTTACTAGTTGTGTTTGTCTTGTCCATTTATGTAAGCGCTGATTTCACCAGGCTGGATCCCCCAGGACCAATAAAGTGGTCCTGATTTTAGATTACATATAGCTTAAAGATCATTTCACCCTCTAAAGCTCCTGAAATGTTTGATGGGTGTTGGGGCTCTTTAGACAGCAGGGCTGTCTGCTCACAGCACTTCATGTTGGGCCTGAGCTGCGGGGAGCTGATGACTCACCTCTACACTAGCCATTAAGTGAGGCTTAAGAACCTGCTGTGGATGCTTTAGAGCAGCCCTCCCACCTGTCTTCAGCAGAGGGGGCTTCAGCCAGGCACTGAGAGAGAGAGCACCTCATTGTCCTCACTGTAGCTTTTAATCCACCAACCAAAGGAAAGAACTGGGAATATATCTGGTGTTTTATATATAGCGAGTATAATGGTCCTGTCCACTGATGCCAAATTTATAACCTATGCCTTGAGTGGCCATGTAACTTATTTTTGGCTGTTGTCTGTATGGTAAGAGAGAAAGCTTCATGGCATTGTTGGTGCAACTGGATTGAGGCATTATTGCTATTGTGTTAAATTATGGTTCCATCCGCTTTTTTGGGTTTATTTATTTATTTATTTATGTAGTCGTGACCAGTTTCACCTAAGAGGATGAAAGCTAGTATATGCTTCCTCTGAGACGTGTGAAGCTAGCCATTACATTTTTTTCACATGACTTTATGAAATTCAGTGATGGGAATAACTACTTTGAGCTGGGCCAGTCTTCCCACCTAGAGAGAGTGAGGCCAGTTGTGCCCTTTTGTACTCCTGTCCATGGATGTTGTGGCATTTCTGGGGATCAAACACATGGGGCCAATCAGTTGGCGACTGTTCTGATAAATCTGGTAATTTTTTTCAGAATTTCAGAATTTAGTTTGGTGGCCTACTCTTAAGTTTGATGCTTCATTCTCTACATGCCTTCGGAAGAATTCTGAAAAAGTGTTGTAAAAGACAGCAAACACTACTGTAAACACTGATCAGAGACGTATGTTGCAAACTCAGACATGATCAGATTATATTTCCTTGAAAGAATAATATAGTGCAGTGCACCACAGGTTAAGCAGTCAGGTGAAAGCTGGAATCTTTTCTTTGAGAGCAGCAGCAGGCTCCGTGTGGCTAAAAACGGATGTCACATGCTTGGAGTACAGCAGGAGCATTGTGTTGCACCAGAACATCATCTCATCCGGAGAAGCCTTTAAGCATTTGTGGAAATCGTCTTTCACACTGAGATTCAGAGAGGCTGAACAGAGAGGTCACTTTGGTCGTGCACAGAAGCTTCAATCACCAAGCCTCGCTGTCTCCCTTATCAACCTTCACCGAGCCCTAGGGTTAGTGCCGAGATATTTCTATTAGAGCTGGATCCGTTACAGTGTCTCTCCTCGTCTCCCTCCCTGTAGAAAACTCTGCAGCGGAATATTGAATAGTAACCGCTATTATAACCCATGAGGTCATCTGAACCCTTGCAGCTTTTTGTCTCGCCTGTCTCGCACCCAGGAGTGCCCTACAATGGAAGGCCGTATCTGTTACCTTGTTCTCATGGAAGAATGTCAGACTGCTCTCTCAGATTCTCTTTTACAGCCTGAACCTTTTTTCTCATTGGATTCATTAGATTATGAATGTCTTCTATTACCATAGAGGCCTAGTGTGCCGCCCTCAACCGGTCCTCGGTGCCATTGGCATGGTAATGGAGCTGAGTCATTGGGGTTACCATTGTAGGATGGCTCATGGCTATTACTGTATCTATGTAAACGTCTGCCTCTTGAATGGTCAGTTGAAATGGCCCACAGGCAATCGTCTCAGAAATTGCACAGGTAACCATGGTAACAGGGCAACACAAGTGTATGTGTGTGCTGTGCGGACCTTAAAGTGGAAGATCATAGTGATATGCTAAGCTGAATTTGCAAGGCTTTTGCAGCTACAGTTTTCTGCATGTGTTTGACCTTCTATTTTCTCTCTGTCTCTGCAGTATCCTCTTTGCTGACATCGAGGGATTCACCAGTCTGGCGTCCCAGTGCACAGCACAGGAGCTGGTCATGACCCTGAACGAGCTGTTTGCCCGATTCGACAAACTGGCTGCAGTGAGTATCTGCCGAACTTAAAAGTTCTCCTGCTGTCAGATTCAGATCACGGATTCAGACATGTTACTGGAGTTCACTCAACAGCGTGAGTGTAATACAAGCCCTACCTGTATTACACTCACACTGAACACTGCAGTGCTTAGGGTTTCAACTGAGCTCAGAGCATGTTTCTATCGTGCTTTACTCACCAATCCACCTGCTGTTGAGCCAGAACCATAGTCTCATTATCTCCAGTGGAGTTCCTGGTTCACAGCAGATATCTTGCTGTGAGTACAGAGCCAACTGGAACTCACAGGAACCCCTCTTTGTAGTACCTTATGGACCTAAACTCACTGGCCATTTTGTCAAGTGCACCTACTGTTACCAACTGTAACCCATTTATTGTTGCGCACAATTCCATCCATGTAATGTTATGTACTTTATTAATCTTGCAAAAGAAATTTGTCATTTTGTTGCTTAACTATGCTCAGTCTGGGAGCAGCACAGCAGGGCCACTTGGGCAAGTAGGGGTTTGAATGCCTTGCACAAGGGCACAACCATGTACACCCAGTCAGTGCTGGGATTTGAACCAACAACCTTCCAGTTGCTTGCTCACCTCTACTACCACTAAAAGGATTTAATCAGTTTTAACACTTTAGCTAGGTCTCTCCCTACCATAGAATGCTAGCTAGCTGTGGGAGCGTGAAGGCCAGCACATTCAGGTCACATAAAGCCAGCCGAATTGCAGCTAACACATCTCTGGACAGCTCAACATGCTCTGAGGAGAATGCTAACTGCCAGTTCTGTTGCTTTAGCTAACAGATGCCAATATTCACTGGTATCATGTAATGGACAGGGAGGGCCATATTGCAAAAGTTTCGATGCCCCTGGTCAAATTACATGCTTTTTCAACTTCCTAAGTGAAAATAGGTTAACACATTCTCTACAGAGAACAAAAATCTGCACATCCCCCAGTATGTTAAGCAGAAAAAATTATGCACTAAAATTAGCAGAGAAATGCCATATTTAAGTTTGTTCCCTGTAGAAGAGGGTGTGTTAACTTCCTTTTAGAAAACCAACAAAACATGTAATTTGATCAGCAGGGGTTTTGTATGCATGGTGTACCTCATAAACTCGCAACACAATGTGCACGCTTATGTCTCCAATGCTGAGTTACATGACTTCTCTGGCACTGTTTTAAGAACTGTCTTTAATTAGATGCTATAGAAGACTGAAAATATCAAACTGCACATAATACAAGTACATACTGCACACTGAGCAAAGCTGTGAGGCACACAGACGCTTGTTCATGCTGATGCTCAACAACAGGGCCTATTGTGTGGGTTGTGGGTTAAGTTAAGGCATGTGCTGGGGTGACATTCAGGTGGCTGTCATAAGACTCAGTCCTGCTACGCAGTGTGTCCTGTGCCCAGCCTGGGGCTCCTCACAACTCCTTTCTTTTCGTCTCTTTTCTCTTAGCTCCTCCGGTCTTCTCTCCTCTCCTCTCCTCTCTTCTCCTCTCCTCTCCACCTCTCTGTCCTCTCTTCTCCACCTCTCTGTCCTCTCTTCTCCTCTCCTCTCTTTTCATCTCTTTTCTTTTAGCTCCTCCGGTCTTCTCTCATTTCCTTTCCTCTCCTCTCCTCTCCTCTCCTCTCCTCTCCACCTCTCTGTCCTCTCTTCTTCACCTCTCTGTCCTCTCTTCTCCTCTCTTTTCATCTCTTTTCTCTTAGCTCCTCTGGTCTTCTCTCATCTCCTCTCCTCTCCTCTCCACCGCTCTTCTCCTCTCCTCTCTTGTCTTCTTGTCTCTTCTTTTCACTCCTCCTTTCTCCTCTTTTCTCTCCACCACTCTCCTCTCCTCTCTTCTCCTTTTTTCTCTCTGCCTCTTTCCTCTCCCCTCTTCTCTTCTCCTACATAACACTGAGTGTTTCAACCACCTTTCTGCTGAGTTCTTACTATTGTTTCTTCACAGTATATTAAGACTGTTTTTTTTCTGGTTAAAATGCAAGACAAATTGGGCTCTTTCAAATGGATTATAAGAATCTAAAGCTCTTCGGTCCAAATTTGGATTGTGGGGTTATTAGAAAATACAGGCCAGCTGAACTGTGACCTTTTTGAACCTGTAGGGAACAATTGCAGCTTAGGCTTTTTTTCATCCTGTAAATCTTCCTTTTCAAAACAGCACTCCACATCCTTAAAAGGAGAAAATGTGTGTGCTATTAAGTATGGATTTTAAAGGTTGAAATAAAATCTTTTTTAAAGATGTAAATCATGTATGTAGTATGAAACTATACCCTTCACTTATTATGTAAATTGGGAATGCCCAAACGCTATCATGTAATGAGTGGAACATTCATAGCGCTATAATGAGTCGAGCCGTGATGATTTAACAATAGTCCTTGACACTAATGTCTTTTGTCAGTTTGCCACTTATGTGTCTATATCTGTCTGTGTGTAGGAGAATCACTGCCTGCGGATTAAGATCTTGGGGGACTGCTACTACTGTGTATCCGGCCTGCCAGAGGCACGAGCTGATCACGCCCACTGTTGTGTGGAGATGGGAGTGGACATGATCGAGGCCATCTCGTGAGTATCGCAGCTTCTTTACATTTCTTGCACATTGACATGCTTGTGTGTATGGGTATATTGTCACTGTCAAAAAGCATCAAAGTGTCTGTAATATGCCTGAATAGTGCAACTGGCTGAAACTGGTTTAAATCCCAGTGATACCACCACATTCATCCATGGAGCTTAACTGAGGCTTGGAATTTTGGTTAAAACCCAAACACAGCACAGGAACATTCTGCCCAAACCCCACCCAACTCACAGTACCATTTTTTGAATCTAAACCCAACTTCAGCTGACAGAATTCTGTCTGACCCTGTTTTAAACCTGACTGCCACAAACCAGACGATGAATAAACTTGAGATTTATAAGTTACCTTAGCAACAGGGTTGGGTTACAAAACGACAGTGACAGCTGCTATCAGATCTTCATTAAACAAAACTAAAAGGGACCCTTATTTCAGCCATTTAGTCAGCCAGTGCCTTTTGAAAAATGATGCAAAAGATGTTAGTTTGGATAAACTTGGTACTACAGAGGCTAGTGCATTGGTTTCATCTTGTCATTGTGGACCTCACTGCCACAACACAAGTGATTCCTGCATGCCAGAGAGAAAACTATTGTATTGAGGATGAATAAAGTATGAAAAAAACTAAAGCAGTGGTGAATGCAGGCAAAATCCATTCAAGGTGGGAGACTATGCAAAACCTTAATGGGAAACTTAAACTTGACTCAAGCCCAGCAAATATTTGAGTGATGATGTCAGAATTAATAAATAACATAAGTATTCAGGTTTGGACGGATATTTCAGGCTGTAATCCGTGAGCAGTAGTTCAAGAGTATAATTGACCATGCTGCTCTATGGGAGGGAATGATGACTTGTTTCCTCTTTTCCTGTTAATCAGAGCAATGTTAGTCAGATACAGGATTCTGTGACGTAGCATAATAAACTGGGCAGTTAGTGTTCTTCTCAGCTGACCTGCAGCACTGCAGACCATTAGCTCAAAGTTTTGATCTGCTTCACATGTCTTGGTGGAAACGGTTTTAGCCCTCAGACTCTCAAGTTGTTACCCATCGTGTAACAAGCAAGACTAGGTAGAAGGTGGAAGTTGGCAGCATTCAACACTGGGTAGAAAATTGGGCAAGGCATTGCCTTGTTAGAGGCACTTAACAATGTTTAAGATTTAAAAGTATTTCTTGGGGCTCCCGAGTGGCGCAACCGTCTAAGCGTTGGCCCTATCATGAGGAGATCGCGAGTTCGATCCCTGGTGATGCTACAGCCATCCGTAGCCGGGAGTCCAAGAGAGCACAATTGGCCTCGCTCTCTCTGGGTGGGTAGGATGGCCCCTCCTTCTCCCCCCATCACTCAGCGCGATGCTAGTCAGCGCAGGCGTCTGTTAGCTGACGTAGCAGATCTGGCGGTTGGCGCTTTCCTCCGAGCGCGTTCAGCTGTCCAATGACGTTGCGTGAGCGGCAGTTCGAAAAGAAGCGGTGGTTGGCTTCACAGGTCTCGGAGGAAGCCTGTGTTAGCCTTCGCCCTCCTAGCGTTGATAGCATCGTGTGATTGGGGGAGTCCTAACTATCGGGTGGAATTGGAGACGACTAAATTGGGGAGAAAAATCGGGTAAAAATTTAGTATTTCTTAAAGACTTAATTAGCTGTGTGGACCTAAATCTCCCACAAGAAAGAATGAGTAAAGGCCCTCGTTGCATTTTTTTTTTTTTGTGCTAATTGGTCAATATGGAGGGGGATCAAGCCCCCTGTAGTCAGCCCTGAATTGCTGAGCAGTGAGACTGATGCTGGTTCAGTGGTGTGTGTGTGTGTGTGTGTGTGTGTGTGTGTGTGTGCGCATCGAGTCAATAAGTGCATTTTCACCTCAGAACTGCAGACCCTCAGGGGAGAGTAGGAGTGGGCCGCAGCATGTCCAATCACAGATCTATTTGCTTGTGCATGTGTCTGTCTTATTAGAAGTGTCTTGTCTGTGCAGTAGTTTGTGAAGGCAGACACAGCGACTGGCTTTCTGCTCCACTGACCATGAGCGTGTTCCCTCTGAGCAGCGGCCAGCAGGCTCTCGCTGCAGCAACAGTTGCCTCTCACAAAGCGAGAGACTTGTTTTTTTCCGCAGACTAGTCCGTCACCCTCAATGTTCAGTGGGGTTTGATGGCCCTGGCTGTTTACGGTGCCACTTTTTAGGAAGGCTGAGAGCAGTTCAGTGAACACAAGTGAAAGTGTCAAACTTGAAACTTTGTTCTAAGTTCACTCAGTTGCCATCATTGTACCATTTAATGATATGATCTTTTCACAGTGAAGATACTTGCTACACTTTTACAGGCTTCCTGTGTATTCTTAAGAAGTCCGGAAAAAGCTTAAGAGTTATTTTTTACTTTTACTGGTATTAGCTTCCAAGATAATGCCTAAAAACATTGTTATATTTTGTTCGTATCGTGGAAAACTGAATTTTTGTTGCCTTTTTGAAATAAACATTATTAAAATTTTAAAATGTATGATTCACTGCCATATTTGGAAATATGATGTCATGAGAAACAACTCATTTGCATTAATCTACCTATTCAGCCTATACCAGTTTAGCCCCACCCATTCATATTGGTTAAGACTAAGTAATGTTTCAACTCTGAGTTCTTTTTAAATGAAGCGCAATACAAGTAAGCAATACATCAGAAACTATCTTATGTCGGTTTTAATAGGATAAGGAGAGGTTTATAGAAATTTAGATAAATTCAAGGAAGAAGTTGTCATGTAAAAATTAATTATGATCATTTTTGATACTTACAAATGTTATAAGTGGATCTCAAGGGAAAAAAAAAATACAGGACAAATGTAGGATATGCTTATTCATAGCAGTCTACCAACCAAAATATCCAGCTGACAGCAGCTCTTTGCTCAGAAACTGACCATTGATAAATGGCTAGAGGACAGCAGAGCTGATACCAAGTCCCACACACTGAAAAGATATTTGTTATGCATGTATCTCGGAGCATATATCTTTGTTTGATTTTCAACCACTCTGTTTGAATAAATTAGCCGTTAATACATGCCATATTTATATTTGTGTATATTGTTGTGCTTTGGAAATTGGTCTTATTTTTCATTTGTTTAGGTCTTAAAAAGACATTAAGGTTTAAAAAACAGCACAATAGCCATATTTCAATGAGTTTACACTTAGTTGCCATTTATTAGGTACCCTTACCATATACAGTACTGTTATTTAATTTCTAGTCAAAACAGCCATCAAGTACCAGTTATTCATTTTTCAAAAGATACTTCTGAGGAGATATAAGACAGTACACTTGCATAAGGAAGGGAAGTCAAAGGAAATGTAGTGAAAAAACAAGTGTTTATAAAACTGGATTTAAAAAATGATTAAAAGAGATAGAGGATATGGGACTCCTTGTAAAAACACTGTAAAACCTAGTAGACCACCAAAACTGTCACCATCAGATAAACAGTACTTAAAGATTTCATCTTTGAGAGAGTGGAGAAAATCAAGCTCCACTTTTGCTTCAGATCTGTAAAAGTCCACAGGTGTTTCTGTTCATCCTTCCACTGTGAGAAGACACCCCAGCACAATGAGTCTGAAAGGATCTGTAGCTCTCAAGAAGTCGTTACTGGGAAAAGAAAATGACAAAAAGTAGACAAAAGAAATCAAACAAAGAAGATGCTGAAGTTCTTACAACAATGGACTGACCACCCCGGAGTCCAGACCTCAGCATCACTGAATGTGTTTGGGATCATTTGGATCATGAGATGCCGAAAATGCAAGCAACTTCTGAGACTGATTATGTGGAAAAATATCCCTGCAGATTTCTTTGAAAAACTGAAAGCAAGTCTCCTGAAAAGAATGGAAGCTGAATGGACACACAGAATACATGATATTGTATTTAGTGTTGAGACTTCTATGTGATTTTCTATCAAATGTGGGGTTTTTTTCCTTGACACCGAAAAATAAATAACTTATTGGCTTTTTTGGCTGGAAATTACATAAATGAAGGGTCTCTAGTTTCTTTGCACAATTATTCATACAATGTGCACTTACATATGATTACTGACTATAGCACCTTCCAGATTACTAACAAATTGTGCATCAACAGAGGTAAGTATATAGCTACAATTAGGTATCTATACTTGTCAACTTGATTGTCGACCTACAAAGTTCACCTCCATATATGGTATATGTGCCTGGTAAAATGGGCTGTTATTGCAGGTAGAGGGTAGGTGTACCTAATAAAATGCAACTCAGTTTTTGTTTGTGTGGTGTTGTTTGCAAAATCAAGTGTGTAAATTAACTGCACTGCTGTGCTGTACAGTTGACAAGCATCATATGTAAGTGGTCTTATTCATTCAACTCTTCTAATATGTATGAAGCTATCCAAAGTTACCTCACATCACCCCTTCAGCTGTTGAAAGGTACTGGATGTTTCCCTCAGAGCTTAATCCAGGAAATAACATTAGGAGCGCAATTTATGTCATAGCTTAGAACATGGTCTTAAATAGTAATGAAATTAGTGTGATTACCACATTGTCCGGGAATGCCACTCTGTCTGTTAGGGACCACACAAGTGAAGCGACTTTATCGGGCTTGCAGCCAAGTGAGATGGGCCACTGAGGCCAGAGTATATGTTGTTCCTGCTGTTCTCCAGTTCTGTTTTAGAATCACACATAATGAGCAAGAGGATGCTGTGTGTGGTTGTGTTCCAGGTTGGTGAGGGAAGTCACCGGGGTCAATGTGAACATGCGTGTGGGGATCCACAGCGGCCGAGTCCACTGTGGGGTCTTGGGCTTGAGAAAGTGGCAGTTTGATGTATGGTCCAATGATGTCACTTTGGCCAATCATATGGAAGCAGGGGGAAAAGCAGGGTGAGTTCACTTCTACATAATATGTAAAGTTCTGAACAAAAACAATGTTTGAGTCAAATGAGATCACACTGGCAGTAATTTAAAACTTAAAAATACTCATTTAAGCAGGAGAACACGAGAGGGAGTATGTTATCGCAAAGTAACATCACGGCTGTGATTTGTTTGCCGTAGATCATCATAGCCGTGATGTTATTCGCGATAATACATGACCTGAGTGTTCTATTGCTTTTATACAACAGTTAAATAAATAAAGTGAGAAATAAATAAATTGTGCCGTGAACGTGTCATTTAATGTTTTATTGTGAGCAAATCCTTCTGCCAAATTATAGTTCCTTAACAAGCAGCTTGTTGCTATGTCAGAGTAACGAACTCCACTCATTCGCTGCACAGTCTGCTGTAAGCCTCACCTTTTGAAGTACAGACTGAGCCATAAAACTGCCGTAATATCAAGTTTAGCTCAGTGTTGTCATTTTTTGCTGGATCAATATTAATGTTGTTTTGTTCCAGTCAGTCTGTAAAGCATCTTACAGCCCATTTTGTTTGGCGAATGGTATTCGGTTAATTTCTGGCTGATTCCTGGGTGTTTAGGTTTTCTTCTGTCACAGCTCATCCTCAGAGTCTGACCAAATCGGCTGTCGGTCAAATGTGATCTTAAAAGTATCCATTTTCTGTTTGTGCGCAAAGTAAGAAGTAAGAACGTTCAAATGGTTTGAGCATCTCCTACAGCTGTCAAAGTCGTTGCTTAGCAACGGCATCTCAGCGGAGTTATACAGGGTTTGTGAAAAAACATGCTGTTATGGCGAAATATCAGCACAGTTAGAACACTTCTCAACCAATCAGCTTGCGTGGCCAGAACTAACTGTTGTATAAATTATATTTATATCATATCATGTCTTATGGCGACACTGGGCTAAAATTCCTGCATTTTTTTTTTCATTGTAATGCATTTGTAACAAATTAATGCTATTTTTTAATGGTAATGCTCTACAAATTAATACTCTATTTCCTAATGCTAATCCAGGTATGTCATTCATATATCATGCATTTTATCGATGTTTATGTATTGGCATCAGCAGATATGAAAAATGAAAAATATTGGATATTGGCACCAGTTAACAATTTCCATATCTGTGGATTTTACCCTGTGCTCCCCTTCTTCTTTGTTTTTATATGCCTCATGTATTAACATCCTATGGAATTTTGTTTCTTTTTTTCTCAGCCGTATCCACATAACGAAAGCCACTCTAAACTATCTGAACGGGGATTATGATGTGGAGCCTGGCTTTGGCGGAGAGAGGAACGTGTATCTGAAGAAGCACAACATTGAAACCTACCTCATAGTGGGCTGCAGCCAGAAGAGGGTCAGAGACTGTTTATCGTCTGTTTTCTCCTACCACTGACTCAGCAGCATAACACTGTTAATTACAGAAATAAGTTAGACATACATCATAAAACTAGTCTAAAACGCTACTTTTCCTACTGAATTGAGCATCTTTTGTTGTGGGAACATTGCATCTGAGGGGGAGTGTATTTCTGATGTGTCTGTATTCAATAAACATCTTGCTCCCTTTTTGTAATTAGGGGTGTAACGATTTCAGTGCAGTATTGAGAAATAAGGTTTACATCACTGTGTTGAGAATTAAAACTGTAGTGCTGATACCCCCATCAGTTTGTACTTCTCTGCCTCCCTCGACACACTCTCTGGAAATTTCTTGTTCTCCAGTACTACTTTTAAGGGGTTTGGAAATAGAAACGTGCTATAAAAGATTTTATATGTGCATTCAAAACCAGTATTTCCTATGTAGTATTGGCCTGTGCTGTCAATAACAGGCAACAGTATTTACTACTATAGTTATACTATATTAGTGTGACTACACTATATTATACTATATTAGCTAACTACTTGTGAGGTAGTTCAGATTTTTGTATTTTGTTTAAGGTTTTATACTAGGTAGTTCAAGTTTTTGTATTTTGTTGGAGGTTTTTATGAGGCATCAGATTTTATATAGTTTATAACTCAGTTTTATAAGATTGATCTTTTGCACAAGCACATTTTGCTTTGGACTCCTTTGTTTTAAAGGAAAATTTGTATTTTTCAGAGCCAAAGCTCAGCCAAAGCAGTGTGTGTAGTGTAAAATCAGAGCTCTGTAGAATCAAGACGTTTGTAACGCACAAACCATTAAAATCTTGACCTCAGAATTAAAAATCACATCGAACCTGAAAATATGTGTATTGTAACAGTGTATTAACCCCTTATACAACTCTATATATTCCTTACTAAAAGTCATGTTGTTAGAATAGATCATATAAGCATAGATATAAGACTCGATATGTAGCGTTGTTGTACTTTAAGTGAACATGGCACTTAATTTGCTGTCATATCTTTAAATTACTCATCTGATCCTCTGTCTGACAGAAAGAAGAGAAGGCCATGATTGCGAAGATGAATCGGCAGCGCACCAACTCAGTCACCCACAACAGCTCTCACTGGACCGACCGGCCATTTTATAACCACCTGGGTAGCAACCAGGTCTCCAAGGAAATGAAGAGGATGGTGAGAGAAACAGATGCATACACACACTCGCAGACACAAAGAAAAGCTCTCACTTTCTCTCATTGCACTCGCTTTCCTCTCATTATTGAGCGGACATGTTACATAACATTCATCCATCTACCATATTAGTGTTTTGCGCGGGTGATAGAGTTCACGTTTATCAAGCATGGATCTGACCGTGTTCTGCACACGCTGCTGTAGTGTTGAGCACCAGCTTGTTTGCATTGGCCTTAATTACTATGAGTCACACCAATTACCACCTCTGTCTAAAGATAATGTTTTATTTATTTATTTTATTTTTAAAGCAGAGGCTTTTATTTTACGCAGCATGTTAACTAAGCCTGAGCAGCTCAAAGGGCTTCCCTCTGCAGCACCGTTCAAAGTGCCTTCTCCTCTTTGTATCTGTGGCTGTGTCACTAAGCTTCTCTGTCCTCCCTGCCTGTGGGGCCCAATGGGAACAGCACTCTGATTAAATAAAGAAGGCTCGCCTCACAGGACGCCCTCTGGGATTTAATCAGGCAAAGTGGAACCTGCAATTAGGCCCCGTGTAAGACCCCTAGAGAAATCCTTTATCTCGCTTTCTTTCCGTCATTTAGTCCTCCACCTCTCTGCTAATATGATAGTGAAGGCCACAGTTCTGGGTTAATTGATTGTGCCGTGTCTGTCAAAGAAAACAAAAACGAAGTGATGTAGAGGTATAATGTGTACTCGTTTACATGTCCAGCTGGTTTAGCTCTGAGTAAGAGACTTTGGAAAGGCTAATGTGGGAGTGTAACCAGAGTCCTTATGGCTAAGTCTGTCCACTTGGTGGCAATCTTGGCAACACCCCCTGGCAGTTATTTCAAGTCATAGATGTTTCAAGTCAAGCTCCTCACAGCTTGGATGAGGAACCTGAAACTAAGACAAACTGATGTTTCAAATGCACAATTGAATAAAAAATGTCAAGTAATTTGTGATCTTTGGCTTTATAAATGACTGAGGTAGGAGAGGTGAGCTAGCAACCAGAAGATGGTGGGTTCAAATCCCAGGACTGCCTGGGTATTCCTGGTTGTGCCTTTGGGCAAAGCTCTTAACCCCTCTGCTTCAGGTGGTGCTGCTTTGGGCATAATTAGGCAGCAAAATGTATATTTTCAGGTTGGTCATGCATATATTTCCACAACAAGGATGGCTTTTTCCCCATTCATGCTTTTACCATGCTTTTTTATTTATTTATTAATTTATTTCTATTTTTTTTTTATTTATTTTTTTTTGGCTCACTGTGGTTGCCTTCCATTAAACAGCAACCACGTTGAGCAATATGAGCAAAACCATTCATATTTCAAAACAGGGAACTCTGATAGTATCTCTGGTATAAGCCAGTTTAATGTAAGATTAGAGTGGTTTATTTAATGCCTCTTTGTGCTTGTTCCTGTTTGATTAATCATCCACATTTGCAGGTCAGAGGTTTGGAATCACTAGTCATATTAATGACACCTGATTCAAGTTTCAATAATAATTTATAAAGTGTACATTGAAATACTACAAACAGTAGTTTAGTTAATAATCATATACTGTTTTTATTTATTAACAGGAATTCCTTTAACTTATCTGCCTTGAGATTTGTTCACCACTTTCAGATACAAGGCATACTGGATGCTAATTTTATTCAAACTTCATTCTCAGTATTCCTTTTTCATAGTTTCATACTAATATGTTAAAGTGTGTATTTGCAGAGTAGTAGTATCATAATAGAATTATGTTTGTTCATCTGCAACATGTTTAGTTTATTTTATTGAATACAAATCTTTAATTTTTGAGTTGTGATTACAAACTTTTGAAAGCTAGTTTACAGCAACAGTATCCTCAGATGAAACTTGAGTTATATAGATATATGGTTATTTAGTGTCATATAGATGAGCACAGTCTCTCATCTGTAAAAAAAAAATAAAATAAATAAAAGCATTAAAAAACAGAACCTGTTTTTATCTCCTGTACTGTCTGGAGAACCACTGTTGTCCCAGAGGGCCGAAAGTCCTCCTTGCAGGTGTTGCTCAGCCTGAGCAAGGGCACAAGTGACTTAGCACCTCTGAGTGCTCCCTGAGCTGCAGTGGTTATGTGAATGGAAATGGAGGGAGACCTGTGTGGGGAGCGTGCTTTTAACTCCAATGACACTCCTCCAGATCTGTGCCTATTTTTACATTATTTCTATATGAAATGCTAAGTCAAGTTTTGTTACTAAGTGGGTGAGACTGATTTGAAATTGGTTCCTAATGATAGTAGGGATGCATCAGCAGCTGATATATTATTATAAATGCTGTTAATGTTATCAGTCTGGACTGTACTAGAGTTATGGCTGATGAATACAATCAATAATTTAACGGCATATCTTTAGCATGTGCATACACTCCGTTGAGGGTGGTGAAAGTACTGCCAATGTTACATTCATGTACTGTTGTGGCTAGTGTCACTAATGTAAAATATTTACATAAAATAATATGCATGTATAATATATGTGTCTGAGAAATCTACAGTACTTTGCAAAAATCAGAGATCACTCCTCGTTTATTCAGTCTCCAAACTACTATTAAGTATAGGTTATTCATTTTTCAGTCCTAGGAAAAAAGGCACAAAACATAAGAAATCTGCAGGGATGTTTAGTGATCCTTTCTGTAAACACCTGATAAGTTCAGTTTTAGAAGTTGGCTGCATTTTCTGCTTCTCACAATCCAACTAATCCCAAACACATTCTGTGATATTGAGGTTGTGTCTCTGGGATTGTCAGGCCGTTGTTGTGAGAACGCTGGCAGCTTCTTTTGACTTCTGGCCATGTATTCAATAAAGCAGGGCCCTCGAAATGTGTATTTACACATTTTATGAAGATACATGCCCTCCAGGATCTTGGAAGAATCTGAAGTGTGATTCTACACCTAAACACAGCCCACAGCGCAGTGTCAGTCACCGTCCATCACAGCAGGAAGACAGCTCGACAGAATCAGCCCTGGTGCACTTCCTGATTCGTTTGACACAAAGATAAACAAGTGCCAGAGCAGATCAGTGAGCATGACACAGTGTTTGTGTGAAACAGTCACATGAGGGCCCCAGGGAACTCCTGCTGTAAAAACAGCGCAATATGACCATATCGAGTTTTCCCTCTGTAATTTCCGAAGACCCTCCCACTATGCTAAATCAGTGTTGAGGTTGTTTTGAGGTGACTCACTCTTGTTTACACCGAGTGGCAGCACTTCACTCTCACGTGGGCCCCGAATGTGACCTCACACAAATAGTACTACAGTGCCACTAATCCCCCCCGCTTCTGTTTGCTCCCCTCTCATGTTGCCGCTTACTGGAAAGCAAGGCCAATTTCAACTGTGCAGTGAATAGAGGGAGATGAGCTGGTCGTTGATGAAACTGGGACATGGAAAAATCGCTGCTTAGTGCATGATGTGTCACTGAGTTGGAAAACAAATGTATTCAGTTTGTGTATATAGCATCATCCCTTTGTTGCAGTGTTTTGTTGTTTATGGGGGTGAATAATAAAAGGATATGTTGTAATTATTGAGATATATTGAAACAAACAGTGTTTTTTTTCTACATACATCAAATGTATTGTCAGGAGGTATAGAATACCAAACAACTATAAAAAAAAAGATAAAAATTATTTAAATGATATGCAAATCATTTAAACTCTATTTAATTGAAAATAGTTCAAAAACAACATATCAAATATTGGAACTGAGGAATTCTATTGGGTTTTTTTTAACATTTGCCCATTTTGAATCTGATGTCAGCAACACGTTCCAAAGTAAGTAAGCGTTTGGGAGTTGAGGAGTTGAGGCTCTCCTTGCTGTAGTTTTGAAAGTGAAATGTTTTCCCATTCTTGCTTGATATAGGATTTCAGCTGCTCAGCAGTTCAGGGTCTCCTTTGTCACATTTTTCGCTTCATAGTGCAGCAAACGTTTTCAGTGAGAGACAGGTCTGGACTGCAGGCAGGCCATGCTGTTGTAATACATGCAGAATGTGATTTGACATTGTCTTGCTGAAATAGACAAGACTTTCCCTGAAAAAGACGTCGTCTGGTTGGCAGCATTTGTTGCCAAAATCTGTATATATCGTTCAGCATTAATGGTGCCTTCACAGATGTGCAATTTAACCATGCTACATGCACTAATGCACCCTCGTACCATGAAAGATACTGGCTTTTGAACTGTTGATTAGTTGGACCACAAGAGACTTTTCCATTTTGCCTCAGTCCATCTTAAAAGAGCTCAGATCCAGAAAAGGCGGCTGTGTTTCTGGATCCCGTTTTTATATGGTTTCCTTTTGCAGGGTAGAGTTTTAACTTGCATTTGTGGGTGCAATGATAAACTGTGTTCATAGACAGTGGTTTTCAAAAGTGTTTCTGAGCCCATGCAGTGATTTCCACTACAGAATCATTTTTAATGTCCCTTGCATACAGAGATTTCTCTGGATTCTTTGAATCTTTTAATCATATTATGTACCGTAGATGATGAAATCCCCATGTTTTTTGCTATTTTACATTGAGAAACGGTATTCTTGAAGTGTTGCACTTCAAAGAGTGGTAATCCCCACCCTGCCATCTTGACTTCTGAAAGACTCAGCCTCTCTGGGATGCACTTTTATACTTTATAATCATGTTACTGACCTGTTGCCAATTAACCACCAAGTGTTTTTTTTATTTAGCATTACACAACTTTACCAGCCTTTTGGTGCTCCATCCCAACCTTTTTGAAAGGTGTTGTTGGGATCTAATTCATTCATTTAATGGGCATATTTGTTTCAATATACACAATAAAATAAATCAAAAAAAGCTAAATAAAGTAAAAAAAGCTTTTTCCCCCCAAATTAAATGATATTTTACCATGTTCAACATACATATAACATTACATATAATAAAGTAAAAACTCAAACATTTTAATGAAAACATTTCAAAACAAACTGAGTGTTAAATAGTAAATAAAATCGCTACATTTGCAATAGACGTTGTGACTACTCTTTCTTTTATTTATTTATTTTTTTTATTATTTATTATTTCTTTTTTTTCTAGACATCATGAGCCCTAATTCCCTTATTTCTTTACTGTGTCCCACTGTAAAGAAATTTGATTCTTTTTCTTCTCCTCCTCCCTCTCTGCTTTCTTCTCTCTTTTCACGCTGTCACTTCTCCTCTTTGAAGCAGTATGTGTGTAGTGGTGTTCAGATGACCGATGAGGTGTTCAGGGCATCCTTGCTCATGTTTTTGCTGTGCCATTTATCACTGGTCCCTCAGCCACAGCAGTGTAAGACATGCCAAGGGTCAGATTCAGAAATACCCTCTGAGATGTTTTTTGAAACACATTTTTAGAACCTTTTCAGAGACGCTGCTATCTTATTAAGAAACTAGAATCCGCACTTTAGAGATATTCTGAAGGTCTTTATCCTATAATCAAACCCTAGTTTTATTATAATTCAGTCATTAATACTTCCCTTACTCTTAATTATTAATATAATTCTAAGATTATTTAAATACGCCTATGAATTATTTTGTAACTAGTCTGAAATTAATATTTGCCGGACTGTGCAAAAGTCAGACACCACCCTTTATCTCATTTCCAGTCAAAACATTTATTTAACAGAAGATTTCACAGAAGCTTCAACAGCTTAATATAATCAGATTGTTCAGTATTTAGTGTGAAGGGTTATTATGTAATTTATGTAATTTTGAGTGAGCAATTGGCTGTGAGGTGGGCTTAAAATAGGGATTAATATTTATTTCTTTTAATTTTTTATGTATAATTTTCACATAATGCGTTTTTTCATCCAACACTTTTCATTGAAATTTCTCCAAATTAAGAGTGCACTGTAGGACACAACTTCTTTTCCTCAGATCTAGATATTAATGCATGTCAACACAGATCTGATTGTCATTGATGAAACCAGTCCTATTCAGTGAAGCTGAAACAGCAGTGGTTAAACTTTTTAAAACTTTTTTGCCTTCAGATTTTTATGGTCCATCTCTGGCACCTCCAGAAGGGGTCACTGTTGTGCTAGAAACATGGTCAGCTGCAGTGATTGTTTCTCTATTACACAGAGACACTCCTGTCCCATCATTACTACCACCCACACTGTTCATTTATTCTCTTCTTCTGCAGGGATTTGAAGACCCTAAGGACAAGTGAGTATTAACCTTTATCTCCTCCCGCCCAATTCTGTCTCATCAGTCGTGGTGAAAAGCTACAGGCCTGAAGTTTTCGTTTGACTGCCACCTTGGAAAGTTGCTGGGGAGCCTCATTAGCCTTTAGTGACACAGTGAAAACCTCTCTAACAACAGTGGTCATTTTTAGACAGAGAGTGTGACATGAATTGAACCAGTATTTTTTCAAGATGGCACTGGAAGACATGCTTTCTGTCTCCTGCTCACTAAGTGAATAAGATCCGGGGATTTTCGGTGCATGAAAAGCTGTTAATCCTGAATCAGTGGACAAAGTCAGTGTGCTGCTCAATCCATGCATGAATCATCACATTGGCTCACTGCATCATCAGCCATCAAACTATGAAAGTGTCTAAAAGCACGGCTCAGACTGGTGCTTTTGACAGGACTACTCAGAATGCTAAAATAAAATTCGATGGATCAGCACATTTCTAAATTGACTGACCTTTACTGATTAGAATGGCTTTTACTGGAAGATTTTATATATTTCAAATTTGAAATTCCACCATGATAAACAGTGCCCGTGCTTATATAACACATTAGTCAGACTATCTTAAAATCTGCATGTTTATCTGTTTGCTGTTATGACTGGAGCCCAGCATTCAATATCATGCATTAATCACTGTGGAGAGCTTGTCAACAATAGGCTACACAAGATAATAACCATCTTGTATAATAATCATTGTGTGGTCTGTGATGAAATGATCCCATCATGAACAAGAGCTGATTGATTGGGAGCTGTGCTCCTTTGAAGTATTCTGCTTTCTGTGGTTCGTGCGTGGGTGTGCCACGGGCTCTGGTGGTGGGGCATGACTGTGGATGCTCGTTGAGATGAAGGCCGGCAGTCAGGAGAGGCGCAAAGTGGAACAACGTTGTCTCGTCTTGTGTTATCTAGACATTTCATTTTCAGAAACACTCAGGAAAACCTGAACCCTGAGGATGAGGTGGACGAGTTTTTGGGCCGTGCCATTGACGCTCGCAGCATCGACCGCTTGCGCTCCGAACATGTCAAGAAGTTCCTCCTGACCTTCCGGGAGCCTGACCTGGAGAAGAAGGTACTGCTTAAGACTTGAAGACCAGAAACATACCGTGAGACCATATGCTCACTTTCCATCATGAAAAAAGCAAAACTTCACAACACTGTTAGGTTACAGATCCATATTTGCATTTTAGGGTTATAATTCTTGATTCCTTTTCATTACAATTACAGTTCTTCATGAAAGAATTCAGTGCATTGTGAAATCTTAAAATTCACCATGAATTCAGTCTTTTTTTAGAGATGCACTGATATGGAATTTCTGGACTGAGATGAAAATTTTATTATAAGCATCATTTCATGTAAATAACCTTTTTTTCTTATTTATAGCTACTCACAGTAGTAAATGAATGTAACTCTCTGTGTCTAGTACTTTTATTGTACATGCTCTGTGGGATGATGGTGTTATTCACTATGCTTGCCTTTTGACTGAATTGAAAAGAATGGAAAAGCTCAGCATTAAATGATCAGTTGTAATAATCTGCTGTAATTCCAGTATCAGAAATAATTTACAGGCGAATAATAAATATCATGTCTCATGCACCCCAGTTATTTTAGTAAAATGCACAATTATTCTTAAAAGTATGCTAAATGTAAATTGTGACTTTTTAAATAAATTAGCATATACAGTACTGTACGAAAGTCAGAGATCACCCATCATTTATTTAAATTTCCAGTAAAAATAGTCTTTAAGCACAAGTCATTTTTCAGAAGATATTTCTGAGGAGATTAGATATATGATGGTAAAAGAAAGGGGAAATCAAAGGAAAATTAAAACTTTTCAAAACTGGCATTAAAAAAATACAGAAAAATGAGGCTCCAAACAAGCCGTGCATCTTTGAAAGAGAGGAGAAAATCAGTTCCACTGAGTCTGAAAGGATGTGTAGCTGTCAAGAAATTGTTATCCAGAGAAAGAAATGCACAAAATATGGACGAAACAAATAAAAAAGCTGCTGGTGTTCTCAGAACAGTGTTCACCCCAGAGTTCAGACTTCAGTATCATTTAAGGTGTTTGGGATTTTCTGGATTGTGAGAAGCAGAAAATGCAACCACCTTTATCTGCATCATGTGTGCTTATCTGAAGTGCCAAACTAATTATGCCTTCACTGCCATATGTTTCCCCTGCTTGCAGTTACTGAAAGGTGGGAAAGTATGCAGGACATGCAGCTCAGGTGGATAACGAACCTGAGCATGAAGGCCCTGAGCCCAGAGTGAGTCACAGGGTGATATTTTAGCCAAAAAGAGCAGTTTGAGATTTTATAGTGCTGCTGTCAGAGTCGTGGTCACGACTGAACAGCCGCACCCCTCTGAATCAGTCACAAGCGACCTAGTGACGTTCAGCTGGCTGCATAATCACTCAAAGGGGTATACTGACAGAGAAGAAAGGGAAGAAAAGAGCTTTGATGGAGGGAACAGGGAATGAAAGGTCATAATAAATGAAGAATACAGCACTTTTTCTCCTCCTCTGCCTGCAATTAGTGACCCTTTTAGCAGTTAACAGGTCCTTCCACCTCTGGCTCTGATCAGAGGCCCAGCTGTTATGTTTAAGGAGACATAATTGCTGCTTTTGTTTTCTTCTCTGGCCCGTGTACAGAGCAAGCTATTTCAGGCCCCGTTTGTTCTCGTCATCCCTATCATTGAATATTCTCCTCTCATTGCTCTTTGCAATCTCCATTACTAGAACTCTTCTGATGGGTGTTTTTTCCAATCTTATTTTCTTTGTTGTACATTTTTAGATCTCATATTTACCATGGCCACTGAAAATTGCTGTTTGTGACCTCCTCCAGCCTTCTGAAACTGGACATATTGTATAGTTAATATACCTTAATGTTTGGTTTTCTCCCAGGTTAAAGTAAAACATATCTGTCTCCATTCTTTCCTTTCCTCTCTTTCTCTCTCTCAGTACTCTAAACAGGTCGACTCCAGGTTCGGAGCGTACGTAGCGTGTGCTTCTCTCGTCTTCTTGTTCATCTGCTTCATCCAAGTCGTCATCGTACCGCAGTAAGTGTTTACAACTTTGTATTAGGCTTGTCAAGATCAATCAGTTAAGTTTAATAACTGAGTTACAAATATTAGACCATAATTTATCTTATGGATGACTCTGCAATGAATAGTTGGCAGTTTGCTTGATAATGTATTATTCTCCTACTGACAAACATACACCTGTATTTGAAATATTTTTATAAGCTTAATGATTTTGAAGGCTTACTTCTTTTTTCAATAAAATGTTTTGAAGTCTTCAAGAATTTAGCATGGTTTGGTATTTTAATCCTTTGCCTATTAATTTAATTGTCAAAATGTAAATTAAACGAAATATATGTAAATATAAATTAAAATCCCTTAGTTCTTTTGTAACAATAGCAAAACTCTTTTTTTGTTGTTGTTGTTGTTCTCCATCATGGTGAAGAAGTATTAAACAATGCAAAGAAACATTTAAAGTTCTTTAAGTTGTCATGGTTATGTATGTAACCATTTGCCTTTAGTAAAGAACCCTTCCAGAACCTTTTTTTTAAAGGGTGTGTATTAGTACATAGTTTATGACACTTTATTTTATGCAGGCAGTACTAGCTCAGTACAAACTCAGAACAATGGGAGTGTTGGCTTGGGTCAAATACCGTGTAGTACATTTTAAGGGGAATTAAAAAATGAATTAAGAGGGTCAAAAAAATGAAGTCCCAGGACAGTGAGTGCTCTAGTACCTTCAGCGAAATAGCAGCAGCAGAGGCAACCAGCCACTTCACTGTCCTTTTCTCCAGCTCCAATAACAGCCGCTTTTAATTAACGTCCTGTCAGCCGCCTGGCACCGCTGTACTTCAGCTCTGTTTGATGGCTAGAGCTGGGGTGGCCATTTTCTCACCAGCTCAAGAGGGTCCCACAACGATGTTTCATTGTTTCAGCTCCCTTGTGTTTCATGCTTTCCTTGTTTCATTGTGTTTTCTCTGTTTCACAGACTCTCTCCGGATCTTTTCCTTTCAGTGTCAGCCTACATTTCTACAATGTCAGTGTCTTTTTATTGTTTCTGTCTTTCCTGGCTCTGAGTTCTAGTCTTTACTTGTCACTTTGCTCTGTTCCTCAGCTCCAGTCTGATGATTGGCTTCTATGTGTCCTGTTTCATCATTCTGATGGCTGTCATGTTCGTCTCAGCCATTTACTCCTGTTACGTGGTAAGTGATCTTTTATCATCCCCGCTTCTCCCCATGCTTACAGCACAACCACATTATCAGAGCGTTCACCAGCTTTTAAAAACACATCCATGATTAAATGGTTCAGCCTTAGGATTCAAATTTATTTATTAATTTTCAAATTTATTAAAAGAATTATTATTTAGCAACTAATACTAGTTATTCAGCAACTGCTATAAAAACTATGTAGTTTTTATAGCAAACTGAATTGTGGACCTACAGAGATCCCACACATACATCCTTTTAGGGTTTATGATGGAGACAAATGGGTGACAAATTAATGGAAAACCAACATCAAGTGTCTTAATAAGGTGTTGGACCACCATGAGCTGCCAAAACAACTCTGGTGCACTTTGTCATAGATCCTGTAAGTTTCTGGACCTGTACAGGAAGAATGGAGACCTTTCTTCCAAGAGATATTGGTGTTTTGATGATGATAGTGTTTGAATGGGTGGAGATCTATGACTAAAGGTCATAGTATATGATTTACATAATTTTCATCAGTCCATTCAGTGACCTCTCATGCCCAGTGGATGGGGGCATTGTGATACTGGAAGAGACCACCCCCATCAGGATAGAAATGTTTCATCAGTGGGTAAAGGTTATCAATTAATAATTATGTATATATTTGTAGGGACCCTTCCTCTAAAGGGGCAAGTGGACCCAGACCATGCTAGTAAAATGCCCCTCCAGCATAGTCTCCAAACCCCCTCACTGTAGAGGTTAAGTAATATACTCATTTGTTGTACAGGAATTTTCTAGGAAATATATTTAAACATTTAAAACATCAAAAGATATGCAAATAACTCAAACAACACACTCAGTACAAAACAACTTGACATGGCTAAATACCACAATCTGCTCTCCAACACAACCACACTGTTCCTTCACCCAGCTGTCAGAAAGATTGTGCTAACAGAGACTTGAGCCGCCATCACGGTCTGACAGTGACAGTGATTACTGGTCATTTTTAAGAGCCAAGCCCGCAACACGACAGAGTAAACAAACTTTTGGTAAATGGCCCATGTGGATGTGATTGTTTTTTTAACTGGTGTCACCTCTTAGCTGGCCCTGAGAGACCGTGAGTCAGACAGTTTCAGACAGAAGCACAGCGAGGATCTGGCAGGCCTCTGTGAACACTGCTGTGGAACAGTCCCACGCTTCTGGCAGCTAAGGACAACAGGAGTCCCCTCCTTGATTCAGCTTGAGAATTAGATTGACCTGGAGAATTAGATTGACCCCTGACCACGAAATGTCTTTCAAAAAAGTCCCCCATGCTGTTCAATCAAAAACTCACATGTAGTTCAATGTCCCCACAAGGTCACTGCCCATGAATGCTCTTCTGCTGGGGTGATGCTCGAAAGATTAAATACAGGCTCTAAGGGCATCCTGTACAATGTTTAATAATAACATTTTTAAAAAGTCCCACTTATCTGCAGAATATGCTCAGTTTACAGTTCAGTATGACATTGAGATGTGATGTGGGTTTTATATGTTTAATTTATTTTATTTATTTTTTTAGCATTAATAAGCATTCAGTCCATATTAGAGTACAGTTATTGAAGGGCCCATGTAGTACATAAACATTGGTACATTTTGAAACTAACTTTCATTACCCAGTCCATCTGTGGAAATTAAGATGCAGAAATGACTGAACCAGTCTATATGTTGTTGCTGGAACAAAACCTTATATCTGCAAAAAGTTAATTTTACAGGAGAAGGAAAAATATTCTTAATTTCAATGGAAGTTAATGGAAAAAAAGATTATTTTTATTGGTTTATTTATCATGAAATTTTAACGCAATGTAAAGGTTAGATAGCAATTTCAAATGACGTCAAAAACAAAAAGGTTTTGTCCTGACACTAACAATATATCAATCTTAAAGACATAGAATCACAAACAGTCAGTTTTATATTCTAAGGGATAAGGAGAGGTTGCAAAACAATTATGTAAAAATCAGTTATTATTGTTTCTTGGTACATAAATGTAGATTATAGCCTATTCAAATGATGTTATCAGATGCTGAATTTGAAGCTGCGGTGCTCCTCTCACATTTCTTTTCTTTGGACAGCTGTTCCCACTGCCCCTACAGAACCTGTCTAAAAGGATTGTCCAGTCCAGACTTAACAGCACTCTGGTGGGAGTCTTCACCATAGTACTGGTCTTTCTCTCAGCCTTTATCAACATTGTGAGTTTACTCAATAATGAGTATATTTGTTATATTAATTTTATAGTGTTATAGTAATGTTCTCTACTGAAACACATCCAGAGCGTGAACCTAACATCCTCATTTTTTACAATATTTTTTATTGTGTGTCCTCCAGTTCACATGCAGCACTGATGATCTGAAGGCGTGTTTGGGGCGAGAGTTTAACATCAGTTTAACCCGCAGCATCAACGCCTGTCATGTGCTGAACTCCACCTTCAATTATTCACTCTGGTCACAGGACAGCCTCTGTTACACCTCTTCACCAGCCTGCAACTTCCCTGAGGTGAACAAAGCTCACACTGTATCGGTCTGTCAATTTAGACAGATGCACATTCTAATAAAGGCATTTTTTCCTTCTCTTGAAATTTACAATTTTGGAGATCAATGATTTTGTCAGGACGGTGCTGAAACCTAAGTGCCTATAAAGCCGTGATACATTTGTAATAGACATGCTGATGTGAGCCCTAGATTCACAGACTGCTTGTAGTAATCTAAGCGAGTTTCTGTCTTTTCTCTTTTTTGACCAACTGCTCCTCTTCCTCAGTACTTCTCATCGTGTGTGCTGCTCAGCCTGCTGGCCTGCTCTGTGTTTCTGCAAATGAGCAGCATCGGCAAACTCTTCCTCATGCTCTTCATCGAGATCCTGTATGTGCTAATAGTGGAGGTGCCGGAGGTCAGTCTGTTTGACAACGGGGACCTGCTGGTGATAGCCAATGCCATGTGAGTGACTCTGGACTCTATGCTGTGTTTTCTGTGTGCTCTGGATGGGCAATATGACAATATTTATTTTTATTGTGATAAAATATGTCAGTAAAAAAAAGCTTTTCAGGGCAAATCATCAGTACTTAAAGAACACTGAACAACTGCATGTTTCACTACAAACAGCATAATTTGTACTGTTTAATTGGATTTAGTGCAGTGTAGTTTGTGAATAAATTGCTAAAAATACTTGTATTCATATTTTTTTGATGGTGTTTTTTAAATGTGGCAACACTACTACTACTACTACTACTACTACTAATAATAATAATAATAATAATAATATTGTCTTTATTTATATAGCATCGTTCATACATTAAATGCAGCTCAAAGTGCTTTACAGTAAAAGCAACCATTCTCCTTGTACAATCATTTTAATCTATGGTTAGTTCAAAAATGTGTTCAATAGAAAAAGACTAAACTTGGAGAGATTATAACGTTGATTTTCAGTCTGACAAAGAATTCTAGGGAATATGCAAATTCGAAAAAATTCTGGTGCATGAAATCTGCTGTCTAGTAGAGAGTAAAATGAACAAGCTTCTCCAGAAGAAGGGTTCCAGTTTGTTGATTTTGCCAGTTGATTGATTTGACAGACTCTCTGCTCAGCTGTGGAGTAGATCCAGTTTAGCATGCTGAGCTGCATGATGTATCCTGAGATGTGTTTTACAAATTGGAAGTTTTACCAGCCTTGGTAATAATCTGTTTTCAGCACAGGCAGCATGTAGCAGTGTTAACTTGCGGTTATCTTATTGGTTCTCTGTGCTCAGTTGATTGGAAACCAAAATATTGTTAAAAATAGTGACAGAAATTATGAAGCAATACAGAAGTTAGCCCAGTTGGTAATTATATGATAATTGTTCATTGCAATACATCTGCAGACTGTTTTGAGATAAAGTAGTATTGTGATGACATTTTTTGATATATCACCCACCCCTACTGTGGGTGTGAGGACAGGCAATAAAGCTGCACAGTTGACTATATATTGAGGTTTCATTTTTGGCCTCTGCAATTACTTAATCAGAAAAGACTACAATTAATGCATTACATAATCATATTTCATAAAAATCTAATATTTCTAGGTACAAACAGCATTATTTGACTAAGTAATGGGATTTTGCTTGGTTGTGTGCTCTGATCAGTCTGCTACGTTCCATTTGTGTATTTATGAGCATTCAGGCAAATCACAGGTGTTGATGTGGGCTGGAAAATCATAGGCTTTTTTCAAGCGTGTGCTGTGAAGGAAATGAAAACTATTCACTATAATCGCTGTTAATCAGAATTACAGTATCACTCAGCATAATCAGTTATCCTTTTTCTGATAATTATGAAGCAGTAGGAAGTGGATTGAGTGACAGATAACGGTATGATGGACTAAATAAACAGTTATTTTCCAAGAGGAGGAAAGTATGATTTATACAGATGGGCTTCAGAGGCATTCACTTCAGTTACAGCCTTTTAGCCTAGCGCTGAATAAACTACTGAAAGCCCTCTTGAGTGGATGTTTGCTGATTTGGCTCAGATTGCTATTGCAACATCCATCTTGAAGATAAAGTAGTATCTGTTGCGCCCTGCCCCTCTGATACATTTCTCTTTTTTTTTTTGTTCAGTAGTCCCGGTAAGGACGTGAATGGAACGAGGTAAGATATTATCAGCTAAATGGAATCACTGAGGTGAAGTAAATCCCTTTGAACCACACCATGTTGTTTTGATTGCTTTGCCATAATGATTGTTATCACTATACAAGTACACAGTATCCCGCTAATGTTTGTAGATGCATAACTGAGATGTTATCGTGTTATCTCAGTGTAATTGTATTCTTGTGAAAGGAAGAGTGTTTCTCCTTCCTTGAGCAGTTTTGTGTCCTTTCTCCTAGACATTTAGGAGAATTGTTGGATTAAAATGGTTTAACAAACTCAATTCTGGTGGTTTTATTTTTGCAAAACCAGTATACATTAATTCTTGATGAGTTTTATTAAATAAAATGAACTGACTCTTGAATTCTCATCAACACTGTGCTAATGTTGAATTTTAAAAAAGGGTTTAATGGGTAGTTTAATATCATCTGTGTTTTGCAGTTGCACGACAGACTCCAGGGTTCCTCTGAAGATCATGACTCCGGTGGTCATCACTGTCTTCGTGTTAGCTCTCTACCTACACGCCCAGCAAGTGGAGTCCACTGCCAGACTAGACTTCTTATGGAAGTTACAGGTAGGGATTACAAGTAAAGTTTTTGTCTTTGATCCAGTCATTTAATACTGAGGATCAAAAGAGTGCAGATCCTGATCCAGTATTTGTATTTTCATGGATGAAACAGTCACACAGTGCACACTTATAGTACATAAAAGTTAGTCAAATCAATCCAGTTTAGGCCAGATATTGTAGGTTGCCAGGTGGTCTAAAATTCCTCAGCAAAATCCCTTCATTTTTCATAAATTATACTGCGACACACTGAGATCAGCTGCTTTTTGGTGTCTACTTTAACCCCTTAAACTGCAAATGGGCCCACATGTCAGTTCCTCATGATTTCTCATTAATTCACTGACACAGTTTATTAGGTATGCCTACCTTGTACTAATTGGTCATTTTATCAGATGTATCCACCATATAGGTGCATTTTGTAGATTTACAGTTACTTACTGTAAACCATCTAGCACAATTTATCAGGCACCCTGTCTATTAATTGAGAGGGACCAACATAGGACCACAACTGACCAGATACTTTTCTGGGGGGTGGATCATTCTCAACTCAGTGACATTGACATGGTAGATTCATGTTAGTGTGTTTTGTGCTGGTAAGTGTTCCAGTTGCTGGGGTTTTTAAACACTTTTGCTGGCCACTCTATTAGAAACACCTATCTTGCTGGTCCACCTTGTAGTTGAACAGAGATTATTTCATGCAGAATATGTGTCAGTCACCTTTCCTTTCATCACTGGTCATTTTTGACCGCAAGACCATTGTTGACTGGGTTTTTTTGGTTGGTGGACTATTCTCAACCCAGCAGTGATACTGAGGTAAGTAAAAACCTCAGCACCACTGCTTTGCCTGATACAGTTATCTACACTACCACCCAGATAGTCTCTGATCAGCAGTGGTCCTATGATGATCCTCTTCAACAATGATATACAGTCAATAATTGTTGTAAACAAAGTGCATCTATATGGTAAGTGTTTCTGATGAGATGGTCAGTGAGTGTAGATACAAGTTAGTAAAATCTTTCAGGCTAACAAGCTAGTAACTCTATATATAATTTACATATTGGTTTCCAAGCAGTTTTAGGATAATTGAGTGTAGTAACCAAGTAGTGCTTATGTTTCATAACTAAATAAAAAGCCTGCTGTTTAAGGGTTAAAATGCTGTAGTAAAGCCAATTAGGTTTTAGTATCTGTGAAGTGTGATAGACTCTGACCTAATCTTGTGATCTTCTAGTGACTTTCCCTGGTGAGGGCTTTTCTATTTTTGTCCATAGTCATGTTATAATAAAGCCTTTATAATTCAAAGGTGATATGGAAAATCACTTTTTGTAGATCATTGTTGTTCTGTCTTTTTGGACTGTTTATGCAAACTTATCACTTTGCTGTATATTAAAAACGACTACTACTCATATAATTGACTTTCTTATTGCATGTTGCTCTTATCTAAACTCGCCTCTCATTTTGAGCTACTTTAATTTTTTGTGAAGTCAAAACACTGTCATTAACTGCAGGTGGCTGTTAGCTTGTTTTCACTTTCCACTTGAAAATAGTTCCATACTGCAGACATTTAAACTGCTTGTTAACTTCTTAAAATGAGTCTCATTGCTTCAAGTTTTGGATAATTTCTGATGACAGCAGTGGTGGAAATGGAGCATAATGGGGTAACATAGTCCTAATAAAGAATAATAATTGGATCAGGCTTAATACAGCCAATAACAATCCAGTAAAATATTTTGCATCATTAGTTACAAGTGTGTTCCCAAATGAGGGATTGTAAATATTATTTAAAGACCTTATCCAGAATTGCCATTTGTGTATTGGTAGCTTAGACAGCAGTTCTATTCAGATGTAGTTATTGCTAACTGGGGTTTTGGGTTGTAAGAACAGACATGTTATTAAAATTGTATCACATTCATCATGACATTGCTCCAGAATTCAGAGTTAGTATTACTCTCTCTCACTCTTTCACTCCCTCCCCAGGCCACAGAGGAAAAGGAGGAAATGGAGGAGCTGCAGGCCTACAATCGACGTCTCCTTCACAACATCCTCCCTAAAGACGTTGCTGCTCACTTCCTTGCGAGGGAACGGAGGAATGATGAGCTGTACTACCAGTCCTGCGAGTGCGTGGCCGTCATGTTCGCCTCCATCAGCAATTTCTCTGAGTTTTATGTAGAGCTGGAGGCCAACAATGAGGGAGTGGAGTGTCTTAGACTTCTCAACGAGATCATTGCTGACTTTGACGAGGTAGAGTGTCTAGATCTGTGATAAAAGTTGGGCAGAGCTTTATAGTTTCCCCTCTTTTAACCCTTCAGAGTCTAATTATTATTGTCATTGTGCTAAATTGTTTAAATTTAATCATGTAATTACATATTTAAATAATGAATTCCATTTAAAATCCAGTTCAAGTACTGTATTAGCAGTTTCGAGTCAGTTCTGATGTTTTACTGCCAAAAGATGGAAACCAAAGATTTCTTTTCACAAAACAAGACTGTACGCACAACCTTTCCTTCTTCTTGTGTTTCTCAGATAATCAGTGAAGATCAGTTTCGTCAGCTGGAGAAGATTAAGACTATTGGCAGTACCTACATGGCTGCCTCTGGCCTCAACGACTCCACCTATGATAAGGCCGGCCGATCACACATCCGTGCCCTGGCGGACTACGCCATGCGCCTTATGGACCAGATGAAGTACATCAACGAGCACTCCTTCAACAATTTCAAAATGAAGATTGGTAAGAATGTTGTCTCTGCTGCCTACACTCATAAGATTGCTGTGCAGTCTGGTAGATAAAGCAAAGTTCACAGTTCAAGTGTCTTAAAGGTAAGGCAGTACGCCTTATCAGAAGTGTTTGCTGCAGTGGCATTTCCAGGAGTTCATACAGCGAAGTAGGACATGGGCCAGTGGCCGTTCTGCCTGGCGTCTCTGAACTGTTAGGGCTACAGTCATGTACAGCTGACAGAGGGCTGTCAAAACTGCTTGACCAAGAGCTAATAAATATTTATGTCTTTCCACACATGGTGAGTGAGACTGTTGCTTCTCACAGCATACATCACAAGCATGAAATCCAATTAAAATTTGTGAAATGTTTAAAAGGAGACTTATTGTATATATCCAAAAGTATTTAGACACATCTGTGAGTTCACATTGGGAGGCGAGAAGATGCAAATGTCACCGTAGGTTTGTCTCTTGTGGGCGTGTTCAGGGCTACTCTTGTTGTCAGGAGTGGGCATGTACATTGTCAAGCTTTCTCTGACAAGAAAAGATATGTGTGTGTGTATGTATGTGTGTGTGTGTGTGTGTGTGTGTGTGTGTGTGTGTATATATATATATATATATATGTAAATATGTAGTGTTGTTTGGTTGAAAATGTGTACCGCTGTTTACAACTTTCTTTTCCATTTTTTTGTACAATTCTTGTACAGTGTAAGAACAAAATGCCAGTAAGACCAAAAAGTTCAGAGAACAGAGGTTGGAGACCTAGGACCCCCATGTCTACGATTGGTCTGAGGATTTTGGTTGAGCCAATCAATTAGATTCTAGCTTTAGTGTGTCATAGTTCATTTGCATAAAGCTGAGAAAATTTTAACTTGACTCACTCCTTAACCATGGCATTAAATCACTGCTACAAATCATTTACACCCATGGAAACTGAATGGACGCCTGTTGCGTTGCTGCCTGTTAGTGAGAACATACGGTAATTAATTCAGCTACTTTAAGGTACATTCACTGCTGACACAGGTGTTCAGTTGTGCACACACAGCTTGTATAATCTCTATAGAATAGCATTGCTAATAGAATGAGACGCTCTGGAGAAGTTGTACATGAGTCTAAAGTCACCGTGCCCAACATAACTAACGCTCTTATGGCTGAATGCAGTCAAATCATCATAGCAACATTCCAATATCTAGTGTAAAGCCGTCCCAGAAGAGAAGAGGCTGTTACTGCAGTAAATGGGGACAACCCCCCTATTTTGCAATAAGTGGGGGGGCAAACCCCCTATTGCGGTTGGTATAGTGTAGTGGGCAACACCTCTGCCTTCTATGCAGCAGACTAGGGTTTGATCCCCTGCCTGTGCAAGCACCCTACACTATACCAGTAAGAGTCCTTTGGGCAAGACTCCTAACACTACCTTCACCTACATGTGTAAAATGATCAAATTGTAAGCCAAATCCCATAGATGTAAATGTATTAATACCACTGATAATCTTGAAGCCTAAATTTTGTTCATACTGTTGTCCATTGTTAGGGAAAACTGTAAACATGATATGTTGCTGAACTAGTGTAATACTACATTATTACATTTTGTGTTTTACTAAATTAAAATAATGTGTGACTTGAGCTCATGAGTGTTGCTACTGCAGGTCTCAACATGGGTCCAGTTGTGGCCGGAGTTATCGGGGCTCGTAAACCCCAGTACGACATCTGGGGCAACACAGTGAATGTGGCCAGTCGCATGGACAGCACTGGAGTCCCTGAAAGAATACAGGTGCGATGTGGCCAGGTTTTCATCTTCATAAATATCCCAGCTCATCAGCCAGCATTATGCTGTGTCTTGCCTTACCTGTTCCAGACTGAATCAAGGGATGTCCATCTGATACTGGTCAACAGAGTCATGTTTCCATTAACTTGTCTGTATACTTGAGTTAATTTTTGAAAATGCTGAAAATATTCTTTGTATTTAATGTCCTTCTTCTTACTGTTTACTATTATTACCAGGTTACAACTGACCTCTACCAGGTCCTCAATTCTTATAACTACTCACTGGAATGCCGAGGAGTTGTCAAAGTCAAGGGCAAAGGGGAAATGATGACCTATTTCCTGAATGGTGGACCCAGCAGCAGCTAACATCCACTGTGTCTTGCAATTATAACACTAAAGACAGTGTGCAGGGCTTAACGTGGAGGAGAAGAAAGGGACTGGGCATTGTGGTTTCTGTGGCCTTGAGGAACTGTGGATCAATTGTTCACAGATAGCCCGTGCCCAGTCTTGGAGCATTTTGCCCTTTCCACATACTGAGCCCTCTCTGATGGCCTAAATGGAGGAAACTTGCTGAGCGCCTTGTGTTAGCGGAGAAACTCATTTAGGAGCTCTGTCTACAGAAACAAGGTTGTCTGAAGAGACCAAAGAAACTCACACGCAAGGCGGTTTGTAGAGGACGGATGCACTGCTCTGAGGCCATTCCTCCAAACGAGATGGGCAATACACGTGTATTCCTCAGCCTGACTGGCGAGCCCAGGTGGCTCCAAAACAGAACGCGTGAAGTCACTGAGGTATATAAAAGAAACAGATGTTTTATGTGTATCTAATACATCTGTGTATGTGAAGCAATGTATGTTCACACAGTTCTGTTGTCTTCAAACACTGTTGAGCTAAATATGGATAGACCTACTAAAATATGGCCATATATAGCGCAGGAAAGCTATACAGACACAATTCTTATCAGCATTTCCGGAACTCTGCTGGACGACTGTGCTGAACACTGAAGAGTCGAAAGGTGATAGTGTTCTGTGTCTGGATACGTCAAAGTCCAGAATGGGGCCGCTTTGTTTTGTGTGTAGGTATGTATACATATGCATACCCAGAAAAAGTGTTTTTCACTCACAAAAACGTAAAACTCACTCACTACACTGAAGACACTTTGAAGGATAGAGAGAGCATCCAAGCCTGGCTTTATTTTGTATTTTTGACATTTTGTATTTTGTCTCAAAAACAAAAAAACAACAAACCTTATCGAAACTATTTTAGATTCTATATTTTGTACATTAATATATTAGAGCGATGTCTATAAACACCAACGTGTATTCGGATGTATATATCTGAGAGAAACGTGCAACCAGCCGTGCATATTTTAATGGGTAGGGGTCATTTTTTAGTAGCTGTACATTCTGTTGCCCTTGTGCTCCTTTTGCAACTGCACACATTTGAAGACCACAAAAACTCTCAAAGACTGGGGAAGAAGATTTTAACCTAAAAGAGTCATTGTATGCTGTGGTGAGAAGAATGGGATGTTCCAGAGCAGAAAAACGGATTGCAGGACTTTTTTTATTACACAGCCACAGCCTTTTAAATCTCTTTAAAGATCAGAAATGACTAGAAACCCTGCGATCAGCACAGATCTCACTGCTTTTAGCCTTGCATTAGTGCTACGCTCTCCAAGAGGAGTTTGTATCCTGAGAGGGGTTCGTTGATACGTCACACCCCTTGGCCATTTTTGCACTGCACTTCTGCCTTTCTTAGCCTATCACCCCGCCCCCCCTTCCAGCTCAATCAGATGGTACGACCCAATGAATGTTCATTTTCTCCAACTGAGGCCTTCATATGTAAAGAATGCTGAGTGATCATGAAAAATCAGTGCCATGCTCATCAGTGGAATCTGTAAGGTGACGTGACATGACATGTTTGGGTTTAGCTTCACCTGTTTCAGTGGGACGGTTCTCCAGTGTAAATATCACCAAGTACAGGCAGACAGGAATCAAGTTTCTCATCTTTAATGCTCCATCTGTATTACAGAAGGTTAATGAAGATGATGCTAGTCGGTAAGACTGATCTTCTGTTTGAGAGGTGTCTGTTACAGTATGTGATCAGGGCTCTTCACTTGGAACAGCAGAGTAATAGATTTTTTTTTTTCCCTTTTGTTCTTTTTCCTTCCATCACTATTCACAAATTGGACCCTGTTGGGCTTCCAAAAGCAGTTTAGTCTCTTTTCTTAGAGGGAAAAAAACAGTGCCATATCTTTTTACTTTGACTTTGTCTGACAAGAGAAGTTACAGTGATGTCACTCTACGTTTTGGTATTTTATGTTCTTATGTATGTAGTCTGGGGCCTTTTGATTCTCATCAGTGTGTTCAGCTGAATCTCAATGGTCATTGTGACAACTACAAGGAACCCTACAGTGGTGGGTTGAAGGTCAAACTATATGTAATCCAAATCCCTTTTCCTTCAATGTCCAGGTTCTGAAGCTGTATGTCTGTGTACAACATTGAGAGAGTGCTTCACCTTCAGTGCAAGACATTACTGAACTGCAAATTTCACAGAGCTAATACATGGGTTGTTTTTTTTTCTTTATCTGCCATGTCAAAAACATTATACTTTTACATTCAAATAAATCACTTCTATGCTTACATGTTCCTTAAATTTATTAAGCAATCAGTGCTCACAGTTGTATAGTTTCGATTTTCTAAGTGAAAATAAGTACCGATCCTCTACATAGAACATTTCTGCACATTTTAATGCATATTTGGCCTGTGCAAAATTTATGGTGCATTTTATATTTTGTTTTTTTTACGAATATGTTGACCAAATATATAGAAATATGCTAATAAAATAAAAATAACAAATATTTGCAGAAAGATGCCATATTTAAGTTCATTTCCTGTAGAAGATGTGTTAACTGTGTTAACTTATTTGCATTTAGAAAATCAACAAAACAGGCATTTTGTCCAGAGTTGTTTAAACTTCTGCATACAACTGTATGGTAAGAAACATCTGGTGAGTTTTGGTGTGGATGTTTCCTAGAATATCCAAAGGGTGGCAGCAGTGCACTTTCTTAGCTTCCATTTAAGTTCATTCAATTGGTTATGCAGTAAAATGTAAGTAATACACTTACAAATGTTAAATATAACAAATATGACCAACCCAATATATAAAGTATGCTTTAGATAATGTCTAAAGCAATGGAAAATGCATGAGGAAGGTGAAATATGAACCAAGGTTCTCTGTCAACAGCCCTGCTGCACTGCCTTTGATCATCTCCATGGCCTTCTGGATGGCCATCCTGACGTGAGTACAGACCTAGTCACATACATTTATTGTCTTTTTGGTAAAGAAAATGAAATTGTCTTCAAGACATGCAGTAGCACCTTGAATAAAACATAATGATACCGAAATATCCCTGCTCGTTATTACAAGCAGAGAATGGTTTGATTGCACTTGAAATTGACCGCTGCATGCATTCAGTCCAGTCAGCTGAGGCTGAATGATGCTATTATAGGAATCTTTAAGGCTCATTCTTCACTAAAGAAAAGCGCTTTGTGCTAGGCATGAAAAGAACATCTCATTGACATTAAAATTGGGCCAGGCCTGATATTATAGGGCAAATTAGGTCTTTTGTCAAAGAGAGCTTGGCTGTTACACGGTCATCAGATTTCAGTTTGTTCTAATGTCAGTTTGTTCAGACAATCACTGAAAGGTCAGAGACAGGGATTAAATCAAACTCGTATTCGTAGTCTGACCAATGTCATTATATGCACAAGGGGGTGCTGACCTTAGATCAGTACTCTCAAGTGTTTCAGACACTCAGTGCTTGTGGGCCTGAGGCTGTGTATGTCAGGCAAGATTAAACTTCAAGGTCTAATTTCGAAGGCAGTGCAAATGTCTTCTAGATTTAAAAAGTTGCCAAAAAGCAGCATGAAATGATTCCACCTGTGAGTCTAGTCACATGTGAGGGGGAAAAAACAACCTCAATTATGTGGGAGTCATCGAGACGCGCACACACTGGCGTTTTCACTCCATTTGCGTACAAATAAGTTCAAATTGGCCATCATCTGCACAACACCAAGCTGTGTTGGTGCAGTGAGCATGACGAGAGCAAACCTGGAACATTAGCCTCATTAGTCACGCTGCTCTGAAGGAAATTACCGTTTCTAATGCTTACCTAACCACCACCATCATCATTTCTCCCTTTAATTAATTTTTTTTTTGTAGCAAGATTATGATGGAAAGTGGCTGAAGTTCAAGTGCTGCTTATTATTATGCAACTATGAAGAATGCAGATGTTCAAAAAGTATTTCATTTATTTAATTCTTAAGATCTACAGTGCAGTGCAAAAGTCAGAGACCAACCTTCATTTATTTAATTTCCACTGCCACAATTGTAGTTCAGAAAACATTTAAAAGAGAGCAAAAATGGGACTCCTAACAACAACGCAAGACCTGGCAGACCAACAGAACTGTAACCATCAGATAAACACTTTCATCTTTTGAGAGAGAGGAGAAAATCAAGCTTCACCTTTTCTTCAGATCTGAAAAAATCCACGTGTTTCTGTCCATCCTTCCACTGTGAGAACGCTATAGGTCAGAAGGACATGCAGCTGTTAAGAAGCCATTAGTAAGAAAAGGAAATAAAAAAAAATAAAATAAAAAAAAATAAAAATGGACTGACCACTGAGTCCAGACATCAACATGAAAGTATTTGGGATTACTTTGTGAAAAACAAATATCCCTGCAGATGTATTTGAAAAACTAAAAGCGAGTCTCCCAAACACAAAAGGAAGCTATAATACAGGTAAAGTATGAACTCACTAAATACTGAACAATTTCATATTATTTTAATTGTTGAGACTTTTGTGTAATTGTTGTTAAAGTTTTTTTTCCTGATGCTGGAAATTAAAATAAATGAAGGGTGGTCTCTGACTTTTGTACAGTACTGTATATGTCTCACATAGGTGCTCAGTTCTGTCTACTATTTTGACAATAAGAAATCACTTAAGCCTTTCTGTATCAGTCATCTATCTGATCAGCCAAGATGCCAAATTTGGTGTCCAAATCATAGTTTTGCAGCAGAGCTATGAGGCTAATGTAGCTAAAAGGTAACAGCAGCATATGACCCCCAATTGGCACTGTGCAAAGTGCATGCTTAAATTATCATACACTTGGATTAAACTGTAATCTCAAATAACTTGCTTGTGTGGTCTGACAAGATTAGACATACTGTTATCTACACAAACTGACAAAATTCAGGCTTCAAGATAATGTTTACAAAGTCAAAGTAAACTTTGTCATTCAGACTATACAACACGGAGTGAACGAGACTGCTTATCTCCAACTCCGATGTGCAAAAATACAGCTATGTAACATTCATTTTGTTCATTTTTAGATGACAGCATATCAAAGGAAAGCAGACATAAGCAACTTGATATGGTTTGAAGCAAGTGTAATGATTAAGGCATGCAGGTTTGCATTATGCTAATCTGGTAGCCATACATTTACATTCCTTGTTAGTAACATTTGCTTTGTAGATCCAACATGTCATGACTGACTGTCTACACATTATTCCCCTTATCCCTACCGTAAAGTAGTTTTTTAACTGAACCATCGTTTGAAGACCTTAAGATAGATCCTATTCCATTATTATATTTTTAGGGTAAAAGAAGCAGTCTCAAAAGATTTCAAGTTTTTAAACATCTGTTTGTGCATTTAGTGGTAGAGCTCAACTTACAGATGTTACAGAGACAACACAGCTGGAAACCCTTTTTTCAGTTTTAGAGTTGACCAAGTGGAAAGGTCATTATTTTGCTTTAAAATAAGCATACTTTCAAATGTAGTGATGGAACTCACAATTTCTCTGCACTAGGAAGTGTCAAATAAAGGGCATCCAAATTTCATACCACAATACTTCTTGCTTTTTAAGGACTGTTAACTTGTAGAATACTTATCAGAATTGAATTACAGAGGAACGCGTTCATTTCATTCAGCTGTTAGCAGTATCACAGGCTTGAGTTAATGATGTGAACAGTTACTGAAAGGCATACAAGACTAAAAAAAACATTGAGGCAGGCATAAAAATAATACATTACGTTCTTAGAAAGTCAAACTTGTCTTTACTGAAGGTCTCGCAGATTCAAAAACACTCATCTGTTGGACATGACTTCTTTTGAACAATCCAGATGCAGACACAAATATAACCGTATTCATTCATTCAATTGTCAGAGTTTTGCTTGCCGGCGCTGGTGCACACCAGTGGAGGCTCAGCGAAGTGAGGCAGCCAAAAGCCTCAGGTGGCAAACAGTGTATATATCAGTCTATACATCAGCAGGCCACTCCTCGGCTGTGAAGGAGAGTGGAATCTATCAGCAGCCAGCGAAGCTTCAGGCAGCACAAAGTCTACTGAGACAGCTGTAGCAGAACATATCATGCTCATGTCTGAATGTGCTTTAGGGGTAAGAATGACTGATGACAGCAGCTTGGAAGTATATAAAATATGACACTAAAGTTTGGGATGCGTGTGCATGCATGAATGAGTACAATATAAAAAGGAAATGGTCTCTGTGACTTGCCTGTATGTGTGCTATTTGTACATTTTATCTGTATGAAGATCCAGAAAGTCTTTGCATAATTGTTTGCTTTAACAATCATCTCTAATCACAAAAGATGCCATAAAAAAATGCAGATACATCAATTAACAAAAATATAAATTAATACCTACTATTCAAACTAACATTATATGCAAATCTGTGCACTTTCAAATTTTGTAACAAAATGCTAAAATGATGAAGAAATGCACATATTTTAGGATAACCAGAGCAATTAGCTGATTAAGTATGATGCCTCCTACAGTCAGACTCTACCACAGCTGTTAACACCCAACTCACTGCAGAGTCTTACTGAAAGGGGACTTCTTTAGTCCTAAACATATGGTGAAACTCACATCATTCAGTGTCCTGGTGTTTCCCTTACAGTCCTAAGCTGTGTAGGAGACTGCAGATGCAGATGATGGTGTGGAGGGAGGCCATGTGTATGTTTCCCTGGACTCTCAGCAGGTTAGGTGCATTTTCAGACATTATAGTCTGGAGCTTTACCCTGTGGCTGCCTCAGGCGGATCTGCAGAGTGATGAAGGCCCCCACCGTCACATGGAAGAGGACCTGCCACACGTTGCGCAGTTCATACAGGTACATGTTGCACAGGCAGATCAGAGCAAAGGCCAGGAATGACTTGATGTTTCTCCAGACTGAGAAGTATGCAAATAAGTAACACTGAGGAGAGAAACACAAATGCAGCAGCATTACTTTGTGCAAGCGAGATGTGTGTGCGAGATTTCCGGACATTAGGACTGTCTTTAACTAAGTTTATTAGTTGGTCAAAAAGCCAGACTAGAAGACAACAAAAAACTGCTAAAAAGGTCAACAATAGTAATACAGTAGTGTCATTCTGTGAAAAAAGCGTTGCGTTGACGCACTGTATTAGAAAGATTTTTGTGATTATGCGTAAATATATTAATTCAAAATTCATCATTGTTTGATTTTTTAAATTACAAGAACATAAGTTTTTAATGTTTTTTTGCAAGTGCATGCATTTTTACATGTTCATATACACAGTCACTTAAGTTTCATCTCAAATATTACTGTATAAAAGCTGGATTAACTTTAAACTTTTTGCCATGCTCAAATATGTATCTGTATAAGTGATTCTCACATTACAATCAATATTCAGGGTGCCCAAGACAATCTCAGTGTTAGCAAGTATTGGACATATGAAAACCTTTATCCCCAACAGTTTGGATACAGGGTTTAAAAGATGGTCAGAATATGGTTTAACCAAACTGTATCAGATGTTGGACAGGGGTAACCTTAAGACATTTGAACAGCTAGAAAATGAATTTGCTCTCCCCAGAACAGACTTTTTTAGATATTTGCAATTGAGACATTTTCTAAGTACACACAAAGAATGGGAAAAACTTATAAAACCTACACATATAGAAAATTATTTCATGGAATTACAAAAGAAGAATGGAGGGGAAAGAATAATTTGTAAACTGTATCAAATATTCACATCTATGAACCTAAATAATTCTTTAAATATAAAGCAGAGATGGGAATCAGAGCTAAATGTGGATATAACAGAGTACTTGGAACGAAATATGCACCGAAGCAAGTCTAGCGACCAATTCAAACATCTGGAGAGAATTCAAATGGAAAGTCATCACCAGATATTTTCGAACGCCAGAAATAGTGTCGAAGATGGGTCTAACACATAACAGTTCATGTTGGAGAAATTGTGGAGCACAAATTGGAAACCATACTCACATATTTTGGCTGTGCCCTAATTTACAGATATTCTGGAACGAAGTATTTGATGCTCTTAAGGAAATGTTTCAGCAGAATATTCCACAAGATCCTAGAGTAGCAATATTGGGAGTAATACCAGATAACTTAGAGGGGAGATCCAAGAAATACCTTCTAGGAATATTACTAACGGTAGCTCTGAAATGTATTACAATTAAATGGATGAATCCAGACCCTCCCACATATAATTTATGGATCCAAAAGGTGTGGGATGTCTACCAAATGGAACAAATAACATACTTATTAAGAATTCAAAAAGATACATTTATGAAGAGATGGAGCCCTGTTATAGATCTGCTAATGCAGTAAGAAATACATGCCCCCCCCCCTTAATGATTGTCTAATTAATTATTTGTTTATTTATTTTTAGACAATCATGTTCTGTTCTGACATTATTTTATGTTTTATGTTATTGATTACTTTTATTTTCAAGTGAATTCCCTTTGTTGCTTATTTGTGTAATAATTAAGACTGAAGAGTGTATCGATATAACTTGTATTTTTAGTTCAAAAAAGTTCAAGTGATCATATGAAAGATTTTTTTTTTAAATTTTGTATTTGCTCTTTAGAAGTTCAGTAAAACAGATGTTTTAACAGCTGCTTAAACATATACACTTATTTCAAGAAATACAGTTTTAACTACAATTCACTAAAGAGAAATATATTCCAAACTAAACTCTGTTAAACCGTGGGTACACTACATGACTTTTAAAGTCTTAACAGATTATAAAAAGACTGGGCATCTCACACTATCCGACTGGTTTTTGGATTTTTTGGGTGCCTGAAACATTGGGGATCACACACTACATAACTTTTAAGCTGTTGCGGAACCGAATGGAACTCACTCGTTCTCTCATTACCACGAAATGCAAATAAACATGCAGCTCGCTGCTGCTGCTGTTTTTTCTGCCATTTGCACTGACGCAGTAAAGAAGCAGCAGGTAAACATATTGAAGTGAGGATCATGGATTTAAAAAATATGATCAGTGTGATTTTTTTAAATATATGTTTTTTAATGTACATAAACTCAGCTGTGCTTGAGTCTTAAACTCAGCTCATTAAAAAGCTTTGCTCCACACGCAAGTGGCTTTTTGCCATTTTTCTTTGTTTACTTGCTGTATTTTCTTCTTTCGCGCTCTCAGTTTTCACTGGCTGTTGCAGGAGTCCGTTCAGATTGAGTCATTGATCAGTATACACTTCTAAATTATGCTCAGGTCAGGTGGAAAAAATCAAATATGTTTGATAAACTCAGACTGGTCTGAAACACAATCGTGAGGCCAAAAACCTGATTCTGCGCCCCTTCCCACACTACAGGATTCTCTCTCCAGCTGTCGACTCCAACTGACCCAAAAATCTGCAGACTAGAGCCAACTAACCCAGACTCAGCCAGACTGAGAATCTGTAGTATAACCCTGGCTTTAGTCGACTAACAGAACCTTAGTTGACCAAGAACGAAGACTGATTACTTGACTAGTCATCTTGGAGTGGACAGCCCTAGTGGACGTCAGTTTTTAAACCAGTTTCTACTTGTTCCTCTCCACAATTTTATTTTAAATTCATTCAAGCCCAATTCACAACACAGTGCAGCCTATCTGCTCAACATCATCACTAGCCTCAAAGGGTGAAGGCCAGAACACTCTTTCGATGTAAGTGTAGCCTGTCACCATATCTTTTCAGAGTATCGACCGCGCAGCATTGATGAGTACCTCAGTGTCCTCGTAGAACAATGCTACACAATCAATTCTGTCACAAGTACGCAGTGTGCTGTGCCGCACCGTGCTAGAGGACAGGGAGATTGTAACATTCCTTATCAGCCGCTGAAAATGAGGCCAATTGCATCTTGAGGAGCCCTCGTGCTCTGAACACAAATGTGAATGCCACCTATAGGCCATATGCCGGGAAAAACAGAGTAAATAAAGCAGTAAAAAAGTTAAAAATATTATAACACTAAAATAAAGTGTTTTATGAAACATCCAGCAAAGTTTGAATGGAAAAAAAAAAACAGAACAGAAATGTAATAAACCTCTGCTTAAAAAATTCTGATCAAGACCTATGTGGGGGTGGTCCTAATATTGTGATGAGCAAACATGATTGACATCCCTCAGTCCAACACTCCCAGCCTGCAACACCACTCAAACGAAACACAATAGCGTGAGTGGGAAGAAATAAGTGAAACAAACTTTAAATATCACTGTTGGAAGAAAACCTTGCTTTACTATTTTTGCTTTTTTTTGTTCTTTCTTCCAATACTTTGAAAATGCTCTTTACACTGTGTCCAAGTTTCATCATGAATGGATGAACATAAATAGTCCAAAAGAACAAAGACCTTAGAATAAAAGGTTGTTAAATTAACTTACACTGAAAGTTAAGACTGCTCTTGCTTCTCTTGGAAAGTTCATTTCTGACAGCAACGGAACTAAACTTCACAGGAGAAGCAAGCAGGTGGTGTTGTATATCCCACTGTCTCCACTCCAACTAAAACACTGTCCAGTAAGGCTCTTATTCACTTTACTGCTGGATGTGCATCCAGGAAATGCTGGTGTGGCCGGCTGATGAAACTAACAAATAAATGGATGTTGTTCTTGCTAGCTCAGTTATGCTTGCTTTTTTTTTTTGCTAGTCATTAGCTTTCTCGTAGTAAGCTTCTCCGACTTCATCAGAAAGTGGCCATTAGGGAAGACCATTTTGTTAAAGCAACCTTATGATTGGTGAGATGACTGCTTACATACTCACCAAGATTAGGAATGCCCAGTTTACACTGAAAAGGAGGATTTAGGCTAAATGCATTGGCCATCTATTGGGCACTAGAAAGTTCATTCTTTGAATATGTATATTAGCAGTATTTCATGGGAAGGGAATAATACTGGGTGATATACCACTTGGTGGATGTGGAAGAAACAACATTCAGCACCATTTCTGCTGAGCCAGAGAAGCTGCTGCTTGCTTACATGTACACCATAGAGTTATCCTAGGTTCAATTCTGTTTTTTTGCTATTTTGCACAACAAAAATTAATTCATTTGTTACATATGGTCTATATTTATATAAACTCATTAGGTTAAATAGAGTTATCAGTGTTGGTACTAGGTATCGGAAAGGAAAAAGTGGTATCTCTGCATTCCTAATGAGTCCTGTTCAATCACAAGAGTAAGATTAACCTACTTAGAAAGACTTAGAAAGAAAACACAGATTTAGGTTCCGGGGGCTTTAGCACCTTGAAGCAATGATTTTATGGTGTAAACCCTCAAGGAGAAAGTCTAGACATTAAGAAAAAGTGCATTTTCAGGAAAATTAAAAAATAAATTAATAAATAATAAATAAATAAAGACTTTTCACATGGTGTGAGTAAGTCAATGGTGATGTATCACTGATGTTCTTAACCCTTTTCCCTAAAAGTGGGTAAAAGCAGCTCTGCACTGATGGAAATGGAGGCTGACAGGCAGGCAGTAAGTCACTTGAGTGCCTGATGGACGGCTCTCGCTTACCTGATAAAGACAGGCTGCCGTACCCAGGAAAAAGGCAATTACGTAATTAAAGTCTTCGTCCTCGTTCTGCGGATAGAGTAGAAAAACAGGAGTCAGGGTGCTGCATTAAGGAAATATGCTGCATGGACAAATTGCACCAGGAAATCCTGTGCTAAATGGTTAGATGCATTAAGCTGCGGTAGAAGGCTGGAAGTACAGAAGAGCTGGATCATCAACTGCAATGCGCAACTGTTTTACATAGCAACAATGAAGAACGACATATGTCCTACATTCCGGAGTTGTAATTACACGGTAGTTATGCATTAGTTATAAGGGTGTAATGATTTCAATACAGCTTAAAAAAAAAAAACAGAAAAAAATCTTCTGAGAGTCTCTCCTTTGCTGTCTTTTGGGGAAACCACTATTAAAGATCAAATATAGACATCTGGATGCATCCTATTAAGGTAAAGTGGGAGGGGAGGGGCTTAAACTGCACGCACTCACACTCAAATGACAGGGTTTTCATTTTAAGGTCACTTATAAATTCAATGGGTTGCGATATTTATGGTTTATTTTGTAAGAGGGTTGGTGTGGTAGGCATTGAAAAAGTTTTACTTAAGAACGTTTACTTACAGAATTACAGCTCCATAGAATAAACAATTTTAACATATATTAAAATCTAAAACCAAACTAAATCTTGACCTTGGAATAGAAATTCGTACTAAACCTGAAAACGTGCATTATAACAGCTCTTAATTAGTAACACTGCATATTCTTAAACAAAAAGTTTACCTGTAATATGCTCTCAATGGCATGGACTCCCCGGAGCAAATTGAGCGCACCGCACAAAACACTTAGGACACATGCCACAATGCCTGACAAGGTGACAGGCTCCAACATTTGATTAGGAGCTGTAGGGTCAAAACAAATATACCAAATCAAGAAGAACACTGCACCAAAATGACATGATGACACATTTCCAGACAATAACCAGACTGAAAGAACCTTTTTCTGAGACAGATTTTGACAGTGAGCACATCATATCTTGGAATTAAACTATTAAGCAGAGACATGTTTTTGCTTTTCAGAGTTACAGATAACACTTTAAATGTTAATGTAATGCATATTTTTAATGTTAACATTCAGACAAAACAAGACTATTCCACAATTATGTGCAATTATGGTGGTACAATGAGGCACTCAATCATTTCAGACACCATTCTTGAAGCTTTCAACCATGGAGAGTCAATTAGAAGTAATCAGAGAATGAATGGAGAGAGAATACCTCATTAGAAAAGGCTAAAATTACTAATAAGGAATAAAAACAAGTGGGTACCAGTTACAACCATGCAATCAAAGCCATGTTACTAAGCATCTCAGCATATTCAATAAGAGTGAGGAGATTAATAGACAGTACCTATGCCTTTATATTTGGAGGTGGTGTTGTGAGAGAAGCCATTGATTGAGCCCAGGTCCTCAGGAGTGAGCTGGTATGGAGGCCGCAGCTTGATCTCCGTCTGCATATCAGCCAGATTGATCTTAGTGGAGAGAGACCGTGGGCTGTTGTAGCGCTGCTTGGTCTTCTGAATGAAGTTGTCTATCAGAAAAAACAAAAGTCAAAAATTAAACAAATGAGTGCAACTAAACAAATGAATGCAACCATGCCCAACAATGATAGCACCAAAATGCTGTACGTATGCTTTCTCTATAAGTTGCAGGGGCAATTTAAGGCTTGCTGTTCTTGAGTGACACAATCTGGTTAGAGGTTTGAATCTCAGCAATGGCACATAGAGAGCTGCAAATTTTCAACACTGCAATGTTTAGGCATCTTACCACTGCAATATACAATACCACCGTCACAGCAGGGCACAGGGGCTTTACGCAAACAAACAGTATATTTTGACAGGTGGTGGCCAATTAGATTGTTGAATGTGACATAAGTGTTTCCTCGCCACACACTTGCATACACTTTTACTTTTGACAGCTAAACTTGCTTACAGTTTAGCACCGCAACCACTAAAGTGGCCAAAATATGGAGACAGTCATTTCACTGTAATGAAAATGCAGTTAGCTTTATAAAGCTGTGCTTTCACGCAGCAGTGCTTTGATTCTGATGGAGTGGTTTGGTATAATTCTAACACTTTTACATTGCCTGCTTTTAGTATGTATGTCACAAACCAATAAAGACGGATGAATGGATGGATGGATGGATGGACAGACAGACAGGTGGATGCCCAGACGGACAGATGGAAGCATGCACAGATTGAAAACCTGGCTTAGTTCTTTCCTCACTGTAAATTCAGTGTGATGCCAGCCAACTGTGGTACATTTTAGATCACATATACATAACTGAGCACAAATGTGATGGGCATAGCTAGACTGTTGGTGGGAATGGGCAACAATTATCACTGGGAACAAAATTTGTTAAATGTAGGGGACACATTTACAATAGGTGCACTATGGTTTTTACAGGCCTGTGCAGAATCACAGATGTGCTCTGTCACAACACCATTAAAAGCACTTATTTGATAAAAATCTAAAAGCACTTATGTGACAGATGTCCTTAGCAGTTCTCCCAAGGGCTCTGCAGGGCACTCACCAAACTCGATGAAGGAGTACGGCCTGACAGCGCTGTTAATGCGCTTGGTGTCATATGTGACAATGAACTCTCTTTGCAACTCATCCAGGAAACAGAACGCCAAGACATTGGGATAGTTCTCTGTGCATACCATCAAGTAGCCCACTCCCAGAGAACTTGTGAAACTGAGGAATAAACACAAGAGGCATTAATCTCAAACAAATGATATTATGAAGTGACAAATGATGTTACAATACTTCACTACATCCTACCCTAACTGAAAACATATTGTACTTCTTAAACAAAAGCCAAAGATGATGCACTCATCATCATGTTTTGTTTGTAAAGCTGCTTATTCTAGTTGACCATGCTAAGTAAAACCATGAGAAAATAGCACCTGCCTCATGATTAGAGTGGGTGAGAGACTCTGAACAAGATCACAAAAATTTAACAAAGTTTTCGAGCAACTCTAAATAAGCAGAGTTCATATCCACATTTCTTGGAAACGCACCTCTCCGTACCAATCTATTCATCAATTACTCACTCTGCTACAATTACTCCTTCTTTTAAGCGTAGGCAGCTTGACAGCCTCACAGGAAATGGGGCAGAATTTGTCATTGCATCTCTCTCTATTAAGGTCTCCTCTGAGAGATGAAACAATTCCATGACTCACACCCCTGAAGGAGGGAAAGTGGGGGGAGTCGACGCGTTTGTGCCTGCTTATGAAGTTTGGGGTGATGAATAGCAGCCTCCTGGAGTGCCAGTCTTCAAAACGGCTGCCCTGGAGGCCCTCAGAGGAGCCATACATCTGTGTTAGCCTCCGCCGAAAGAAGACTTTAAATCTCGCATTGGATTAGCCGCTGATTTAAATGATGTGCAGGCACTCCACCTTGCTCCCTTTCAAGAGCTTCTGTTCATTTTGACTGAGTGAATTTGTATCCAGACACAGAAGAGATGTCACAGGAGAACTTCTTATTGCTTTCCGTTAAAGTCACTTGCAAACAAAGACATTTAAGTTTGTCTTTGTTATATTGCAAGAGTGAGGCAAACGTCCTTTCAGACAATAATAAAGCAATCCTGCACGCCGCTGAAAGTACGGAGCTGCATGAAAGGAGACAGCTTTAATTGACCATAGCTCATAATAGCTCTGGTGACATTCCAAAACACAGTTAGACATTTAGAATTTATATATGGTCATGACTTCAGAGACACTGACTCCTAAAATGGAAACAAATGCTGAAATGCAACTACACTGACTTTCCCAGAGGATCTGAGTCTGTCTTTTCAACTAAACACTATTTACAACTAAAGTCACTTTGAAGTCCTCTGTCAAGTTCATGTTGCTTAGCAGAGAAACAAATGAAGAAGGATTCTAACTTGATTAAAGCATAAGAATTCCATGACAACAAGGAGACAACCATTGTAACATCTGAAATTTTCAGGTTTATGAAGATGTTTAAACTGCTGTCACTTATACGATTAAAACCTAAAAGTTTTCTACAGCCATTCTCTTTACCTCTCACAATTCTTTAAGAATATGCACACCTACAAAGGAGTGTTCAACTGCATAGAAACAGCTATAACACTTACTTGACATGGTATTGGCCTGTTTTGAGAGAGCAGCGGTCGGGGAACTGGCTGAGTTTTTTTGACAGGCCTTTGAGGTGCTTCTTGGTCTCCTGCAGCCCTTTGTCCTGCTCATAGTCAGTGGAGGCAGAGAGAGGCAGGCCGTCCCTCACCCGCACCACAGAGGCAAACAGGACCATAGACATCTTCCAGCTAAAACCTGTAAGTGCAGGAAAGCATGAGAACTGAATATTTCACTTACAGCTTAGACACTGAATAACTAGTATTTTAACATATTAATAACAGAATGTGGGCTGTCATTATCTGTTATATTAGTTATCAAATAGTCTACCATTACTTCTGGTATTTAACTGAATAATCATCAATTTGTTATTTTAAATAAAGCAAATAATAAAAGTGGACTATGGAGAATAATGGTGAATAAGCATCAGGAAAACTAACTATTGCTGACTCAATAAGGTAAAATTGTATAAATTAGTTTAGTGCTGGGAGATACATCGTCTCTTCGGGTATACCATGATTTTCACATACTGTTATTTTTTTTATTTTGTTTTCATTTTTAGTGACATTCTTAGTAAAATATTTTATAAATAATAAAAAATTAAATCCATGATATAAAGCCCACAAAACAGTGTTGATTCTGTTGCCAAGCAGTTTGTTTTTACTGAGCGTGTCAGACTAAAAGAGCTGTTTAAAATTCATAAAAATGAAATAAATATTTTATTCCATCTGGTATAATTTAAAGATTTTTTTTAATATAATTTTAAGAAAAGAAAACGGAAAAAGACAATTTAATCAGAACAACCTCTGGCAGATTTGTACCACAAAGTAGCAGCACTCAGGAAGTAGTGGGTTCAATAATTTTATTATGCTAACACAATACTGAATTTTTTCAGTATCACTCATCACCAGATGATTTTTTTCTGAAGCCTTTCTGTGCTGTTGTGTCTCCTTTGCCTCCTGTCTTCTTTTCTCTAATTTACTTTCCAGGTAAACAGTGCACCTAATAAGTGTCTTTTACAGTCTTTCTGTGTGAATCCATCCACACAAAAAGGCATGAAGTAGCCAGTTTTCTCTATTTATTATCCACATGGTAAATGACAAAATGAAAACACTGTTTTCCACTTTCATTGATTACACTTCCACTATTTATACCTTATTAGATGTCATGTAAAAACATGCTTTAAGTGATTTACAGACAACAACCAACATGTTACTTAATGTCCTAACATTCAAGCAAATTTCTAAAAGGTTGTTGTACCATATAACTATGACCACATGAACACAGGAGATAAAGTGCTCACGTCCAACTTTGATCATTCATCACAGCAGAGTCGAAGAGACAAAGCTGCCAAAAGAACACTGACCAGATATAACACCTTAGCTGTCAGTCAGTTTAAGGTGTATGATAAAAGTGCACTCAGTCACTCAGACAGCACGGTAGGCTCGTTTACATTTGAGAAACAAGAAAATAACTTAAACCAACATTTTCATTTTTCAAGTGAGGGGTCCAGCTAGTAAAAGCAGCTGTGGGACATGCTGCAATTTGCTTACGTTTACAAATTGGTTAAAAGTTGGTATTTTAAATAATAACGACATCAAGGTGAAGCAGGCTCAGGTCAGGTCAGTACCGCGGACAGCACCTTCTGTTGGTCTCGCGACAACTCAGGTACCGTTAGCTGCTCGGCTAAGTGGCTGTTTGTTTACATCCGTTTAAATTTGCCTCGTTTCTTACTTCAGGTTTGCACGACAGCGTTTTAGAAAGCCAAAATCCAGCCACAACATGACAGATAACGGAGACAAACGCGCTAGGCCAGCTTTACCCAGACTGTAGAGAACAGCGAGCGGACCGCTCCGCCGGGCAGCGCCTGCCTCTCAGTAGCTAATGTTAGCTATGCTAGCTAGTTAGCCTCGTTGATTGACAGCTTTAAAACCTTTACACGTCCAATAAGTCGACTACCTAGACATTTTTCTGACTACTAACGTTACTCCAAACAAAACCGCAAAACAATAAACACGCTGACAGCGCTCCAGAATCCGTAGCACAACTTAGCTAAACGAGCTAACTACGAAACTGGTTTGCTAATTAGCTAACCTAGCTACCTAAGCAACATCTGTCCACAGCAGTCCGCAAAACCGGGCTCTTCCTTCAGCAACGCTGAAATCTCTGATTTGCTTTATTCGCTAAATAGTTCACTGTCTAAAGCTTATCTTGTCAGGTGTTCATAGACTCTGTCCGGCGCAGGTCGCCTTATTTACGATAACAGTTAACCTAACTAAGACAGTCCACACAGTTCACCTCAGACAAACCTGAGGTGGTTTCATTAGGATGAGGCCCGCACGACGAGCCAACACACGTGTTCAGAAGCAGAAGGGCGGCTGACCTGTGCAGAGGCATGTCCTGCATAAACGGGACTCAGTTTTGCACTCGCAGCCGCTGAAGTCCAAAAATAAGCATCATTCTGTCCGCTTGTTTGTAGCTGTTCTCTCCGCTGAGGGAGGATGGAGCCATACAGGAGCGCTGACGTGGCTGAGCGACGTGCATTGTGGGTAAGAGCGGGGCAACACACACACACACACACACACACACGCGCGCGCGCGCGCGCGCGCGCGCCAGTAACACATGGAAGGGATTTAGTACGGGACATCAGGTCATATGGGACAGTGTGTTAAATCATGGGACATGCCTTTTATAGGCCCTGATTGATATAACTATTTATTCAGTTTAACACTAAAATAACATTTTTTAAAAATCAATCAGCCTTTTACAGTATTTCCATTTGCTCAGAAACATTATATTAGTAAGTTCAATTTGGAATAAATAAGAGTTTCTTAAAATGCCTCTTGATACCAGATGGCCCAGAATAAACAAATCCACCCTGATCATTTTCATACAGGTAACTTTTAAAACTTAATGAATGAATGAATGAATGAATTAATGTCTCAGTAAATGAATGCATACATACATACATAAGCAAACAAACATAACTACAGGTTTTGTGAAATTTTATGTTTTTACTTTTAGCACAACCACAACAGAATGTGATGAGTGTTGTGCACAACTAATAATATTTTATCTATAACTGAAAATATTTTATCTATAACAGCTTCATTTGGGAAAATGATAGTCCAGCAAAGTTTGCTGATATCCCTGTTCTGACACAACAGCTAAACCAAGTAATTAACTGATGGGTTGAATCAGGTGTGTTCTGAACAGGAAAATCACCAAACTATGCAGAAATCCCCACTACTGGTGGCTTCACTGGCTTCACTGAGGCATCACTTCACTTTAAGGACATGGCACTGTGCAAAAGTTAGAGACCACCTGCCATTTATTTAGTTTCCTGTCAAAAAGACCATTAAGTACACATTATTCATTTTTCAGGAGACATTTCTGAGGAGATATAAAATAATTCACTTGTATAAGGACTTCAACTTCAAAAACTGGACTTCAAAAATGATTTAAAGATAAAGAGAAAATGGGACCCCCAACAACTGTTCAAGACCTGGTGGACCACCACAGCTGTCACCTTCAGATAAACAGTACTTAAAGCTTTTATCTTTGAGAGAGGAGAAAATGGAGAAAATCAAGCTCCACTTTTGCTTCAGATCTGAAAAAACCCACAGATGTTTCTGTCCATCCTTCCACTGTGAGAATACACTCAACACTATGAGTCTGAAAAGAAGTGCAGCTGTCAAGAAGCCGTTACTGAGAAAAGTAGACAAAAAAGAAGAAAATTTGCAAATTAATCAATGAAGCTGCTGGTGTTCTCAGAACAATGGACTGACCACCCCTAACATCGCTGAAGGTGTTTGGATTACTTGGACTGTGAGAAGCAAAATATGCAACCAACTTCTAAGACTGCAAAATGTCCCCGCAAAATTAAAAAAAAACTAAAATCAAGTCTCCAAGAAGAATGGAAGGTGTAATAAAGGTAAAGTGTGGACACACTGAATACTGGAAAACTTCATATATATGTACTTTGTTAAGGCTTTTATTTAATTCTCTATTAAATATATATCTGCTGCTTTTTTTCTGACTGGAAATTCAATAACAGAAGCGTGATCTGACTTCTCCCCATGTACTGTATGTGTACATGGGGAGACCCTGTCCTTAACCCCTTAAAATCTCAGTCTTATTATATATTAAGGCTTATTATTCAGTAACTACAAGGACTTCAATGCAAACTGGTTGAGCTTATAGAAGTGTGTAATAAAAGTTTGGGTCTGCCGGCAGGCCCTGGCCATGTAAAAGGTTAAATAGACTATTGGTGGAAATGCATATAGAGCTAGCATGTATGATTTTGAAAACATTCAAATGAGGCTGATCCATCACCACGACTTTGCCTGTTTTTACTCCAACCACACTTCTAGAATTTGTAGCCAAAAAAAACTTTTTTGTCTCAGCTGACCATACCATCTGGATTCAGTAGAACATCCAGTGATATTTATCAAACTGCAGTCACTTAAATTCAGGGTTTCTTGGCAGGGAAGAGTTTCTTCTGGAATGTCTTCTGAATAGCTTGTTGGAATGGAAATGGTGTCTATTTGTAGTTTTGGAGACATGGTGAGTCCAGAATGGAAACAATTCCTGCAGATGTCCACTATGATTTTTGGAGTACTGTTTGCCTCCCAAACAATCATTCTCACTTTCTATGGGGGCAAAATACAGTTGTGACCTCTAACTGGCAGATTCATTACAGCTCCAGTTGTTTGAAACTTTGTAATCATTAACCTAATAGAGCAGATTTGTATTTTCAGGGTTGAAGTTCTTTTTGTAGCTGTATTTTGCATTTATCTTATTTATCTCCTTTGAAAGGTTTCTCATGGAAGAAGATGTTATTGCTCTTCTGTTGGCCTGGTTTATCAGTTTGCCATCTTACTCACTGGTGACATCTGATATTACAGTTTTCTGTAGCATGCTGTTTCTTAAGTAAGGTAGCAAGTGAGATCATTATGCCAAGTTAAGTTAAATGGATATTGTAAATAATTGTGTTGTATCCTTAAGCTAGATCAAGGAGAGAAAATGATTTGCTGCAAGCTTCTTGCCTATAATGTTTTAAACAATTTGCAAGGTGCTGCAATGAGACTAAAAACAGTTTTACACAAATCGTGCCCAGTCCTGTTTTTCAATAGTTAAGTAATACGTTTCTAAGACCTTCGACTGGGACATTTTTGAGTGCCCTTTTTCACAGCCTCTTCTGCATTCTAGTGCTGTAAGATGAAACTGAATGTCCTTCTACTTAAATGACCTCTTGGAACTGTCCACTTTAGAGGAGTATATTTAATGAATTAAGTATTTCAGCTCATTTGATGCACAGTACAGAAGCAGACTGATGAATAGATGGAGGCATAACTTGAATTTTTTATTTATTTATTTATTTAATTGATTTATTTTTTTAAAGAAGTAGTGGTAGTGGCACACTGATATTGCGGTTTATGGAGACTGACGTTAAATAATCTATAGTCGAGGCATTGCTCTGAAACACATCAGTGAAATTACTGATTTGAACTATGTTAGTTTAAAAGAAACAGGCATGAATAGAAAATCAGTAAACAGACTATAATAAACACTATATTTGTATTCCCCACTGAGCAGACTGCTTATGCTCTGTGCTATATCCATGATTTCAGTTCTTGATTGTCAATAACACAAGAGCTTAGAAGACGTTGAAGGGGGTAAAACAGGGGCTATGTAGACATGCTCACACACCTTAACCCTTACAAGAAGAATAGAGGATGATAAAAAGCAAATCCAGGAACTTTCATTACAAATCTCAATTAAATTCACAAATTCATGATTTCCCAATTTTATCTGCTGGTGAAGAAAGATATGCTGTTCAACTCCCTGGAACTAGGAGGAAAATAAGTTTGAATGGATCTTTTTTCAGGTGCTGTACATCATTTTGGCTGTTGTTTTCAGAGTGAATGAAGAAAATCTTTATTTTTCCAGAACAGTTCGTCAAGCTATATTTATGTCTTTGTCCTTTTCTGATTCCAAGTAATTTGTCCTTTTGACTGTTTATTGAATATTCCTCTATGCAGTTAATTTTGAGGTCACAGACACAAAAAAATACATTCTGAGAGTTCACCAAGGGTCAAAGTGACATAAAGGACAATCAGTAAACAACCTGCTGCATGATTTGATGAACGAAGTTTAAATCAGTTTGGGTAGACTTACTGCTTCTAACTTAGACAATCATAAATACACTTTTGAAAATAAAAACAGCAAAAAGGGTTCAATGGAGTGATGCCCTAGAACAAGGGTGGGAGGTTCTGGAGGTCTGGATTCCTGCACAGTTTGGTGATTTCCCTGCTCAAACACACTGATTCAATTGCCAAGTTTAGTTGGAGTGTTAGAGCAGGGAAATTGAGAAACTCTTGAAATCTAGCCCTCAATTGCCCACACCTTTAGTTCCCTAAAGAATCTTTCTATGGATTTAAAAAAAATATTTTTCCTTATTAAGGATCTATACTAATTAAAAGTTGTTCATAGAACTGTACTTTCAAGCCAAGAATCATTTAAGAACCTTTATTTAAGATTGTATCACAAAGATTGTATCAAAAGCATCAATTGGATCCAACCAGCTGCAAGAATTTCACATTTTGTCATTTGCATCTTCCCATTAAAACCAGCTCTTATAGGTAGACCAGTGATTGAAGCCACTGTCTGATGTGCTGTGTCTGTTCTTGTGCCCTGTGCAGTCACACAGTCATTCAGTCTTCTGGATTGTCCTGTGTCCATTCCTGTGCCCTGTCAGACAGCCTGTCTGGTCACGAAATTCAGTCTGCTGGATTACAACAGCTCCTCACATTTTGGAGTTTGAGGTCACATAGATGGGACCCGTTTTTCCACCCGCAGCACTCAAGGACACAAACCAATCACTGGAAGTGAAAATAGTCTCTTAACCAGACCAAATTCTACTCCAGACACACACAGTGCTGAATGATGCTTTGTCTTTCCCATTCCCTTTCACTTTGACTTCCTTTCTGTGCTTGGCTCCTTTGCACCCCCAGTTTTAACACAAAGGGGGGCACTCAACTGAAAGGGAATAGCTGCCTCCTTCAGTGTCCTCCTCCAAGTAATTTTGATGGAGTAGGTACCTATGTTCACTCTCCAAGGCATTAATCAGCCACTCTCAGCACTTAGATATTACATGCATTTTACCAGCAGGAGTTTTTCCATGGGCAGCAGCACAATCAGCTAGAAGTGATTCATGCCTCAACTTTTAAAAGTGGCAAAGTACTTTTGCTTCTTTCAGATGTTCTTTTCCCACTTACCAAGAATGAAGCTTGATTCTGTTAGTGACATGAGCAAAAATGACTTTTAGTAGATGTCAGTAGAAAGTGCTATCACGTTTGCCTCTCTTGATGATGTGCGGAAGCCCGCTAGTGGTGTTTACATAGCCAGTGGTCAAATCAGAGTTTATTCTCTTATGTGATATGTATCTGGTCCTTTCCTTGAAATGTAAATGGCAAAAGTGACACCAAACCAACCCTGAATTCTTGCAGTACACTCCTTAAAAAAAGGTGC